CATTGAGATGTTGCTGTTCACAAAGCATCCTCGTTTCTCCTCAAGCCCTGGGCCAGTGTAACAGCTAGGACGCGGCCATGTGCTGCAAGTGTGGATCCTTTGAACACAAAACAGCCAAAGGCAAGTTGAAACGGTGCTGCAGCCCCCCCGACCGTGCAGTTTAGGTTCAAGGGCTTCGGGGGGAAGCAGCCTGGCAAAGCTGGAAAACTTTGCCAGGAACGCGTACATCTCTAAGAGGCAGGCGCCATCTCAATGTGAAACTGAAGAATCCACTCTGGTAAGAATCAATGTGCTGCGCACCGTGGGCTGACACGCAATCTTGCTGCAATTTGCTGTTTTGCGGCAAGCGAGCAAACAAGCAAACAAGCATGAGCAACATGAGCAACATGAGCAACATGAGCAACATGTTGTGCAACATGTGCAAGTACTCTGGCCGCATCAAGGCTAAATGCCGCTGGAAGGGAATGGTGCTTCCATGCCGCCTTGCTTCTGCGCATGGGGAGAGGGAGGCTGAGAACACAATGTGATATACATGTGTTTGTTCCGTTCGCACTCGCTTTTCAGCTGTTTTTATCTTAGCTTGGTGCAAAGAACGGCCCATCCCAGGTGATCTGAGCTGGGCGCCGCATGTTGCCATCCCGGCTGCCGGGCTCAGAGCGTGCCAGGTAGATCCTGGGATGTGACGCCATGTGCCATCTCCCTGCTACGGGCTGAGGAGCTGAGGAACTGCTACTCTCCGTTTATAGGCACCTGACAATCCATTCAAAACATATTTTCCAGCTGCCTCCACCCCCACCAGGAAAATACCAGGTTGGTGCGTGGGGTTTAAGTTTTTGAGCCCAGCCGCATGCTTCACCCAGCACGAAATAGCTCAGCCACCCCTACTGCTGCCAAACGCGACTCTATTTCCAGTAACTTCTCCAGCTCTCTTTCGCCCAACAAGCAGCCGGCTGATTGAAAACCAGTATTTACTCCTAAAGCAAAAAGTAGAACTCCATTCAGCCACTTGTGTTTGGTAGAGGACACAGAAGGTGTCCCACAACTGTCTTGTTGCATTTGCCGGCAAGCAAGCCAGTGAGAAAAGACACCAACCTTAAACAAATACGTTGGACATCGGATTCTCCACTCCCATCCGCGTCTCTCATCTACCCTCGCTTTTATCTTTCCTGTCCGCTTTAAAATTAGAAGATATCACACTCAAACCAATGATGTACATGGCCAGCGCGACCGCTCAATGTCCAAAACGGCAAGTACGCACACACAAGAACCAAACAGGCATACAAACATGAGGCACGCAGGCAGGCGCAAAGGCAAGCAAACAAACAAGCTTAAAAACCAACACCAAATCAAAGCCAAGAAACCCCTGACACAAACCAGCAAGCAAACAAGCAAGCAAACAAACAAGCAAACAAACAAGCAAACAAGCAAACAAACCAGTATCAAAACATGCGCGAATCCCAACAAACCCAAAATAAGAAGCAATCAAGATGACAAACATGCAGGCAAGCAAGCGAGCGAGCGAGCAAGCCAGCCAGCCGGCTAGCAAGCAAGCCAACAACCACTCAGGCAAATAAGCCGGGAAGGTTCGAGCCAAGCCTTATCGAATGTCGGCGCCTTCGCTTTTGGAGGGCGGGGGACTGATTTTCCACATCCACCATAGGCATTTCGAGCTTGCGCGTCTTGGGGCTACAATTGGCATCATTTGTTCAGGATGTGTGTTGTTGTTTCGCTTCTTCTCCAGACTGGCTGTTTGGCTGTTGCGGCTTTCTCTATCCTCAGCATCACCAGTAACACCCCTGGCATCGCTTCTGGCATTTTTGCGTTTTGGCCTCTGGGTTTGGCTTAGCAGCTTGTTTGTAATCGCGCACTTTCTGCCTTAGCGTCTTTCTTTGTTTTGCCAAACCCTCCCCGCCCCCAACCCCTTGACGTCTTTGCAAGTAATTAAAGGGGCCGTTGTTCAGCTTTGTGATGACCTCAGCGCCTTGTTTGTAAACGCATTTTCTTTTTTAATGCCCCTTTATAGGGCCGTTGTTCAGATTTGTGATGAGCTTTGAAAGGCAAAGCCAAACACCCAAGCCCACCCTGGCCCCGCGTTTTGGGTCCCAAAACTACCCTAAACCACTACTGAACCTACACTAAACCACCACTAAAACTAGAACCAACCAAACCTAAGCCTAAGCCAACCATAAGCAAGCCACTGCCTAACCAGAACAACAGCATCCCAGTACGCAAAGCGCAGCCAAAACAACCAAGCCTACACCCTCCAAAACAAACCCCAGAACCCACCCTGAAGCAACCCTAAGCCAACCAACAACTGGTGATGCTGAGGATGTTGAAAACGATGCCGGGGATGTTGACAGTGGCGGTGCAAAACGAGTGCATTTTGCTTGACATTTCTGCACAATACCGCCATTTTGGCACCGGGAGGGGAAAGCAAAGCAGAACAAATAACAACAAATGTGAACCCTAACCATCATTAACTTAAGTGAGGCTTCAAGACGTCATCAACATGTCCACGTTGGTTGCGGCCAGGCATGCTTTTTTAAACCCTGGGATGCGCTGACTCGGCGAATCGCCCAAACCCTTTGCCAGGCTGCTCCCCGTTCTTCTCGTTGGAAAGCACCGCCGGCTTGGGCTTGGTCTGGCGGCAAGCTTTAAGGCTCTCTTGCACTTCTTCCTTGCTTTTTATGTGTCCCAATCGGGGCAACGTGCCAGTCTGCTAGCGCCAAGTTGTGGACATCCAAAAGAACTACGTTACTTTCATCCCCCTCTGCCAGTGTTCATGGTGGGTTCTGCTGTTGGAACAGAGGGCCTGTCAATCGAAAGTCTCAAGGCGTTGGAACTGCAAATCAGCACAGCATTCAACGTGCGGCCAACCTTCATCACTAGCGCTTGTCCAGCAACGGAAGCTGAACACTTCTTTGGGTGTGGGACACCGGTTTGGCCATGATTCTGTGAGGAAAGATGCACCAGCAGCCAAAACCTGCCTGATGGAGGTGCCACATAAAGCGCTCCAGAAAGATATGCTCTCAGAAACTGCAGTGGCATTTGTCCCAGTCCAGCCGCCATTCTTCACCCGGCTTGTTCTTTCGAACAAGTATCCAAGGCAAACAACTCACATTCGACCAACACACGCACGCTCAACAAAAGCACAGTGTCGCTCACTGCGTATGGACGCCACTCAGCAAAGAACTCTGACTAGAAAACCCAGGGAAGGTCACAACAATGCTGCACAAGAATGTCCATGGCAGCCTGGACGCCCCTCTTTCCCTCGCCGCTGTACAACCGTGCATCGCACCAACAGCTCCACACGAAAAATGGGAAGAGCCTAAGGCCCAGGGCAAGGGGCCGACACATGCATTAGTCGGAGTGACCAGGGGGCCTTGATTGTTGACTGGCCTGCCAACCCTGCTTGCCCGGCGCGAAAATCTGGAGGAACACTGGCTCTTTGGTGCTTAAACTTGAGCCAGTTTGGAAGGACTTCACGGGCGAAACCCGTGATTTTAGAGCCCTTGAAGCTCGCATCTCGCTCTTTCATAAGTGCTGCCTCAGGGGCAGTCGCAACTTGTGGGCATCGAATTTTTTCAGCCGAATGTGCCAACTCATTGGCAATGCTAGCCGCACCCCAGCGGCCTCCATGCGACTGTAATCGCACAGTCGCAATCCAAGGCCTGTTGGAACTGCCATCCTCAGCAGAGCCAGCGGCCCTTTGAAAAATCGAAGGGAATCAAGACCTCTGCTCCCCACTGGAAGACAATTGAGGCCTCCTTCCAGGTGCAGGGGTGTTGTACCCGTGATGCTCCGGCAGTCTCTGGGCACTCTCACTAAGATGATTTCGGCAATGACACGCCCTCATTCAAGCATCAAGCTGGCAAGAAGTGCAGGGGCCGGTGGAAGGCTTGTCAGATGTGTTTTGTTTGATACTCTGTCACACTGGCCTTGTTGTACATACTTGCCCCGATTCGACCCTCAGGTGACGGTGAGTACCCAAGGGCTGGAGCACACTGGCGAACCCGTGGAGGCCCAGTAACCGACGAAGCCACGCTTGGATGATGAAGCGATTCATGCAAGCAGGCTCAATTGCCTTGTGTCCCCAGTTTGCATACAGGTCCATGGAAAGGGGACCCGCCCAGCCTCCAACAACGAAACAAATCCCTTGGGCGGGTTCTTTAAACGGTCTGATTTTCAGGTTGGCTTAAAGCAACAAACACCATGTTGGGGGGGTCTCCCTGTCAAGAAAGAAACATATCCGCTTGGGCACAAGCCAGCTTGCCTGTGATCGCCACCTCAGCTGGGGGCCTCCTCAGTAGCTTCTGACAATGACATACTCGGCGAAGACCCTCATGCCATCGCGTGCCTCTGATGGCGGCAACCTGAGCAAGCACTCAAACGCAAGCACACTTGAATACACGGATCAAACACAGGCTTGGCAAATACTCAGCAAGTTCCTTATCGCTGATAGATTTGCTTATATCAAGCAGATTGTTACTTTGAAACTTCTGGCCATAAAAAATGGCACATGGAAAGAACTTGTTTAAAGCAGCTGACTTGCTTTGACCCTGCCACATGGGTTGCAAAACGTGTGGATGCGCGCATTCTATTGTTCTAGGACCTGCAGCACTTTGTGGGTACGGGCAAACATTCAATTTTCCACAAAACCCAGGTTTCTGTTTTTTTTGTAGTACGTGTTTCCTGCTTCTACATGTTCTCATGTTGGAGATTCAACTACACCTTCAAGCGCCAATCCCGCCCTCTTTCATTATAGGCCTTTTAACGTGGCCCTGTCATGCAGCAAACAAGACTTGTCTGACATTGACAGTCGCTGAATATTGGGAAATGCGAAACGAACACAGGCAACGGAGCTTCATGCAGAGTCCAAAAGTGCAATACATAGTACGTACTAAGGTGATACGCCAGTCACATGTTTTTTTTTTGGGAAGGGGACCCAACAAGCCAAGCTGAAAGAACATGAATGAGACGTGTGGTCAAATTGCGCAAAGCTGTGGCCAGTTGGAAACAGTGGGCCGGTTCCCTTACCGAACTCCTAACACCGGTCTGGGATGACACTGAGCTGGCTTAAGAACGTGGAATTGGGGTTGGGCCGCCCTCCCGCAATTCCATGGGGCTGCTCGGCATTTCAAACTGAAGGGCACCAGAAATTCCATCCTGCGCTACATTCGCCGGGTGTCAGGTCCAACTCTAAGGTGGCCAGGTCCACGAAGCGCCTCGCCAAGGCCTGCGACGAGTCGCGGACCCAGTCAGGTTCCATGTTCTTTGGCGCCCGGAAAATCTTCCCTGTTGGTTGTAGACAGCGGCAAACTTTGGCGACCCTTAAGTGGGGGCTTGTACTTTGGCTGGCTGCATGTGAGTAAACAACACGCGAGGGAAACTATGGTCAGGGTTGATCCCCGCCATCTAACCACTGCCTGCCATTGCAGTTTAGGACCTGGGGCCCAGCAACATTCCGTAACTGTTCAAAGCATGGATCCAGTCACCCGGCACTTGCTTTGTCAAAAATGACTTTGACATGAGGGACTGCTTCGGGGACGGTTCACAAGGGGATGGGGCCACTGGTCAGACTGCAATCTCCAAAAATAAAGTCAGCCACCCTTTGTTCCCCCCCGAAGAGGGAAAAAAAAAACAAATCACCAAAGAGGGACACATTGTCACATCAAACACCTGAGAAATCCCAAAGCGGAATTCCGAAGCTTCTGCGCCTTCGACTTCTCTACTCCCTCGCCCTCCGCCACTAGCTTCCTCACCAGGTCTAGGTCTCCCTCCCTGGCCAAGCGCCGCTCAATCGCCTCCGGCGCGAGAGAGACGAGCCGGAGGGGCCAAGTCCAGAGTCCCGTAAGTGTGAAACTGACAAACCGAGAGCATTGCATCGGTTGCCATTTCTCAGCTTTCAGCAATCGGTGGCTACGCTGTCTTGCAACTCTTTGCGCGTTCTCATGGTGGAAGGGGTTAAGGTGGAAGGATGCGGGAGGGTCATGGTCACGTGCGTCTCAAACATGCGGCTTCGCCTTTTGATAAGGTGATGGTTCCAGTCAAGCAACCCCAGGTTCAAAAGGGGAGCGAGCCCCACCAGGACCCGCAAAGTACATCATACAGAACCTCGCCAAACCACGCCCGAATAGGTATCTGCGATATGCAGTGCCAACCCCAGCTACTGATCAAGCTACCATTGCACAAGCAAACAAACGGATCGATAGTAGAATCACGCAGGCATCTCATACAAACAATTCAGGCAAGAGTTCATGTATGATTGAAACGTCAAGCCAAACAAGTCACTGAGAACTAGTCCAGAAGTAGGGAAGATCTGAGATAACCAAGAGGGACACAGTTTGTCTTCTACAATTGGTGGATACGCTTGGAAGGCACACAAAATGACACCTCTCGTTTTCAGAGTGCCCAACCCCGCCTGTATCATGCCTTATTCTCATAACCGGGTCCCCTCCGAAAGCTTGTATTTGTGCCCGTTTCCTTTCAACATTCACCAAAAGGAGGCCCAATCCATATCTGTCCATTCTAGATACTTTTGGGTACTCCCAAAAGACCTCACCCGCCCAAACACGTTCCACAGTCCACACAAAGAACTGAGCTGTCGCCTGCAGCAACTCTTGTCGCTTCTCCTCCGGGAGATTCCCCGGCTGGGCCGCAAAAAGCACTGGCGCTCCGAGGTTGCCCTCCTGCGCTGAAGCAAGGGTCCAATTGCGTGTTCGCTCAAAAACAGTGGGACCGCATTGTTCGACGGTCCTCTGCCTCTATCTTTGTGACTGTCTCTCTGTCTGCATTTGTTGTGTTGTTTGAGAGCCAGCAACTCTGTTTGGTTGTCTGGCCACCTGGCTGTGGCTCTTAGTGCTTGTCAATTCATTGCCTGTGCCTTTGAACATAGTTGCTTGGCGCGCGTGCCGTTGAACGTGCCGGCGACGTGCGCACATGTGTGGACATGTCGGCGGGCGGGCGTGTGGGCCTGCCTGTGAGAGCTTGCGCCTGCGTGCCTGCATGCAAGCCTGTGTTGTGCAAGTGGTACTCCGTCAAGCGCTCAAAAAGTGAATGCTGTAAATCCATCCTGTGCGCAAACAGGTGGCAGAAGCCGCCAAGATTGGACAGTAGCCCTTGTTAGAAACTTGTGTTGCATGGCCTACGAGGCGGAAAGTAGCACTTGCAGCATGTTTGGTTCGCCGTTGCATCGCTCAGCAGTTGGAACAAGTTCTGGCCGGCATGGCCCTTCTTTAAAGCACATTGAACTGCGCAACCAATCGTGACAGACCGCCATATCACGCCCCACCGAGGTTAGCACAGCTTTTATGCACGCATTGCAAGGCGACATGGTACGGCACACAAGAAGCCCAACATGTAAGTAGCACCTAGCAGCTAGCACAAAACGCAAGCACGCACGCACAGACCACCGCACTGATCAGCAGTTCGGCCGTTTCATGCCACCAAAGCGCCAAATCCAATCCGCGGCCCCAAGACTCAAACCTCCGCTCTGCACGGGTCGCTCCTTGAGATCCGCCAGAGCCGGCTTTCCCAACTCCTGGCCCGTCTCGGCAAGGCGACATGCGACTGGGAAAGAACACAAGCCTATTCGTCTTTCTAAAAGAGTAGTCGGCGGTGTTCTTTTCATTGGTCAAGTAGGGAAGCAACTAGAGCAAAACACAAAACGCGGAACAAAGGGCGGACACGACTGCAAACAAACGCTGCCACAGGACCTGCGGTCCTACAGGCAAGTCGCAAATGGCAGGGGAAGAACCAAGTCCTCCCTGCTTTTGGTCTAGTGTGGGAAGGGTGCTGAGGTCCTTTATCCAACTCCCCCCTGTTTCTTCCTAGCCAAGGCCGCGCTTGGTGCCACGGCGCCTCAATGCCCCCGCTCGAATTCGGACCCTCCGTGCCTCCTCCGTGGACACGAAGTCCAGGATGTCATCGACGACCTCCGGGGCAAGCTCCAAATGCAGCAGCGCTTCAAGACCCAAATCTTGCCGTGCCGAATGTGACTGTATTGTATGTCAGGACTAGTGCACTGTTGTGGTGAACAACTCAAATGCAACGTGCAATGCTTGATTCCAGTTGGACGTAACGAGATCGTTGCCCTGAGCCGGGTCTGAACCAGCACCCTACCATCGCGTGCATGCTTCTTCAAACTGGTCATCATAAGATTCAGTAAGCGCACGCACACAAACACATATACAACTTACACGGACTAAGCACATGTTTGCTAAGGGATCAAGATCCTCAACATCAGAAAAGTAAAACTGTGTAAGGCTCAGTCGTAGCAATCGTCGTAGTAGTTGTAGCAGCAGCCGTAGGAGTAGTAGCAGTAGCAGCAGTAGCAGCAGCAGCGACAGTAGCAGTAGCAGTAGCAGTAGCAGTAGCAGTAGCAGTAGCAGTAGCAGTAGCAGTAGCAGTAGTAGTAGTAGTAGTAGTAGTAGTAGTAGTAGCAGTAGTAGTAGTGGTAGTGGTGGTGGTGGTGGTGGTGGTGGTGGTAGAAGTAGTGGTAGTAGCAGTAGTAGTAGTAGTAGTAGTAGTAGCTGAAACAGTGATAGGCAAAAAACAACAGTAATAAAGTAGCAGCCATCGCTGTAGAAAAGCGTATTTGGAGAAGTGATAGTAACATCCGCAGGAGAAGTCGTAGTAGCACCACTAGCTACTAACTTGCTAAATTACCCGGACACTAGTTTATTCTCTACCCAACTAAGTTACGAACTTACTAAGGTACTAAGTTACGAACTTACTGACTTGCTAAGTTGCTAACTTTCTAATTTAACTTACTAACTGCCCCTTCCCCTAAGTCCGCTAGCTTGCCGGCCCCTGCCTCCAGCTCCACGCTGGATACTAACTTACTAACCGCCCTTTCCTCCAGGACACTAACTTTCCCGATGCCTGTGTCTTTCTGTGGTTCGGGACCATGCTTCTGATCCAGAATTTAGTTTACTCTGGTCTTGAATCATTTTCTGATGCGAATGCCTGAAACTTCCTGCTAGAGGGAACTTAATAAGAACTTGACTTGAGTGATAATTTTTCTTCACAGGGCTGAATATTCATCTTCCCGCACCCGGAAGCCCAATAAGGACTGCTCGAGACCTACCCAAGGAACCTCCGTCCATCAAACGGGCAAAGCTAACTCCGAACTCAATATGGGTCGGTATGGACCTGCCCATCTGTTTCTCAATGCTCCTGCCTGGAAGGCTAAGCCCACATAGGCGCCAAAGCGGTAGCAATTCTGGCCTCAGCTCTGTTTTGGCGTGGGGTCGGAGAACGCCCACCTGGATCCCAATGCAGTTGGATGCAGAAGGCCTTCGCTCCGTGGAAGGTAGTGGCCTACTTGAGCTTTGCAGAGCCCCTGTGGCATATAATGCGACAAACATTTTGCATAAACAAGCTAGGCTAGAACAAGTCACTCTGCCGATGTCAGCAACGAGCCGCAAGGACACTGTTTGTCTTGCCCATTTGGGAAAAGATTGCCAGCCTCCATGTTTTGGGCAGCCACTGAATTGGAATGATTAGTGCCAGTGCCAAATTTGAAACCCAGCATGCAGCAGCCAGCCTGGTGCAAAGGCGTGCAGTAGGGTACCATGTTGTTCGTAGCTCGCTTTAAGTGGCCACCCCCGCACACCGCCGAAGGTGAGGAATTTTCAAAGCGGGCGGGGCTCAAGCGCTCCGCATCCGAGCTAGTGGCATTGCTCCGCGTCCGGCGAGTCCTGCGGCCTGCTGAGGAGTGCCGCCGCATGGCAGGCGGCGGCCAGCAGCGAGGCCGTCTTGTAGAAGGACTTGGACAGGTAGTCCTGGCACGCGACCCAAGCCACAAACAAACAACCAACCAATCAAGCCACCAAGAAAAGAAACCAAGAAACAAAGAAACAAACAAACAAGCAAGCAAGCAAACAGGGAAACAAAGACCACAGGACAACACAGGCAAGGCAAGGCAAGGCAAGGCATGACAAACAAACAAGCAAACAAGACGAGAATGGCGGCAAGGCGAACGCGCAGACCAGCCTAGCAACAAAAAAAACAGCAAACGAAGAAGCAAACACGAGCCAACAAACAAGCTCAACTCGACGGCACGATATAGGTCTTGACGGGTGTCAGTCTTGACAAAGCAACATGCTCCTAGCCCAGTACAGCACCCTGACAAAACTAGATATCGAGCCACGCATCGAAAACAGGTCTACACAAAGTAGAGCGTGGTTTCAGCCGTGGGGAATAATCAGCTGAATCCACTTAAAAATGAATAAATTATCCTCCAGATTGCCAGTCGCACCTACCCCCAGGGTTCATGGTGGATCCCCGCGTCCCGCCCCAGCTGGCAATCGCACCCCTCACGGCCCTCCGCTTGGATCTGTGCCCTGGTGACAAAAAGGCCGATAAGAAGAGTCAGGAAAGAAACCACCCGCCAGCACTGTGCCTTGTGGCATCTAGAACTGGAGGTCAAGAGGCTGTGCTGGGAAGCAAGGGGAATGCTAGGCCGTGAGGGCTTTCTAGCTGGGGCCAATAGCATCTCATATAGTCTTGGATGTCCGGTCCGGCAGTCCAAGGCTAACGCTCGTACCAATGATTATGCTTGACAGGGCACTCAGGGCACAAGTTAGGCACAAGTTGCAAACACAACGTCCACAATTGCAACATCAGCTGCGCAGTGAAATGTTGACACCTCCTCTACGCTTCAAATCCACAATGCTTAAAAAAGCAAAGTAACGCACATGCATCATATAAGTAAACAACTGAAATGAAAAAACACAATGAACAAACCATACAACCTCAAATCAACAATTGGTTAAAATCATATATTAATGACATGCAGCAAGTGTTCCACAATTACACGAAGTAATCTGTCGTATCTGGCCGATCAGTGTGGAGTCAGTGCGCCCAGTGCGCCAGGGGCGCAAAATTCGGACTAAGACTGCACACAGGTTAAAACATCTGGAAACTGCCCCGGTGCTTTGGGGGGGGGGGCTGGACCAGGTTTCGCAAAAGGGCAACGCAAGAGCTTCACCTGCCCAAACGACCTGGCACAAAAGAGATACTGTACCCTTTCGGGTTGCCACGACAGACGATGAAACAAGGCCAAACCTGAGAAAACATGACAACACAAGGAAACCCTAGCTACAAACAACATACCTACAGCCACAAGCCTTCTGAAGAAGTGGCCCTCCATCAGTTGCCGCCCCCTTGCCCAAAGCACTCGGGTTAACTTTTTAGAACCAAGAAGGTTGAATTTGGAGAACTGACTCCTTCCCTTCCCCTCAAAACGTTGATCGAAATGCTGAAAAGGGATACCACACCCTAAAGTAATCACATGAGAACTGAAACCACTTTCAGGAAACAGTTGTTCTTGACCATCAAAGGGGGAAAGCCAACCACCAAGCCATTGCCCCCCCCCCCCTTTTCCCTGGTCTCCCCATCCCGCCGTGCCCGCGGCTCGCAAACCGCGCGCCTGCAGGGAGTAATCCACCGCTTCGAAGCGCACCGCGCTCTGCGCCAGCTCCCCCCGACCGAAGTCCGCCACCACCTGCGCGGAAACGTTTCTGCGATGCCGGAGCCGAGCCGTCGGGGCCCATGCTGAAACTACGCGTGCTTGAGTGCAGCTTTCAGAGCCTCAGGGGGAAGCAATAGGAAACCAATCAATTTGGAGGTCCCACCATTGTGACACATGCCCAAATGTCTTTGGGAGTCTTTCCCACCACTGGCGCCCCATTTCCAGCCCGCACAGCTTGCTTGCAAAGATTTCAAGCCCCACTGCTCAAGTGTATGCCCCGGTTTGCTTGGACGTGTGTGGCGTTGCCCGTGCCACTGTCAACGAAGCAGAGTGTCTGGGGCCTAGTTTGGATTGCTTGAGCATGTTCACCGTTTGTTGGTGAACGGAGCCGTCCAATACATGTGTACAAAGCGCGGTCTGTTTTGCTTGGCCAAACGGCAATGAAAGCAAGCTTGAAGTCCTCCCTCAAAACACGCACCACGCTTCGCCTTAGAGATGAGCAGGACTGTGGGCAGGCTTCCAATCTCCGCAACCAGCACCGAGGCGGTCGCAAACCTGACGCGAGAGAGAGACAGCAAACCGCTTGCCTGGGACCAAAACTGGGGTCAATGCCTACGCAAAAGGTTTCCCCATCTAGATGATGAAGCTTTTCCTTCCCAGCCAGCGAGGACGCAAGTGCGCATGCATCCAGGAATGCGCGGATCCCGTGGCCTAAGGATCCAAGTCCAAGCCGTCCAACCCACCAACACAAAAGACCTGCATGCATTCACAACTCACCAGTGTCAAACTAAGTTCAGCCTCTTCTCCCCTGCCATCAGAGCTTGCTTGAACAGCATGGCCTTGTTAGAGCATGCCAGGGCCAGAGCTAATATTCGAGAGGAGCGACCCGTTGCGACCCAATTTTATGACATGCTCGGCACCAGCAGTCAATGCTGAACGTTTGTCAAACTATTCCTCGAAAAAACAAACCCGGCCCTTTTTCCGGTAGACCTGGTTTGGACCTGGGGATTCAAAGTGCCTCATGGATCTGGGCCAGACTCAGACCCCCTGCAAAAAGGAAACAAACAACACGTATTGCTTGCAATTAGAACGGGAAATTAAGCCAAGCCAACGTGAGAAACAAAACATATAATCTATGTATGTTCGGCAATGAGGTACTTGTCTACACATTGACCTGAAATAGGGGCCTTCCCTAAATGAGATTCCTCTACCAATACTTTTGCGAGTTCATTGCAAATCTGCAGGGGTTGGCCTTTTTGCTAACCAAATGACGAGTCATACCTTGCTTGGGACAACTTTGCCGCCAGCTTTTTTGTTGGTTTGTACAAATGCGTGTCCCAAAAAACGACGTTTTTTGACTACCTTTAAACCAACCTTATAGGGGACGCCTCAAACAATGCGGCAGAACCAAAACTTCGATGCCCCCCCGAGCAAATTCGGCCGAGCAGCAGGAAGTCCCCCACGAGCGCAGCAGCACGCTCACCCAGGCGAATGTGCGTGCTGGCCTCACCTCGCCGGGTGTCCGCCGCGTCCAGGATGTCATCCTGGGTCAAACCGCATGGGGCCCTTACTGCCAAGATCTTGAGTGGCTCCATTTTTTTGTGAGGCTTGAAATTGGATGGTTTTACTGGACTCCTGGCTGCTAAGATGCCCGTTGCTTACGTTCTCAGCCGCGGCACATGCACCAAGGAGGCCGAATGCAGCACCTCCACCGCGGCAGCAAGGCTCACCACGTCTTTCATGGCGGCCTTCCGGTGCGACTGCCGCCAGCTGGGAATTGGAATGACGGATTGGTCCCATAGCCTTTGGGCTCCATAGCTGTAGCTGGGCAGAAACACCAATTTGTGTCGCTTTGTAGGGAGACACCCTGAGTGGAGGGGGTGTGGGTCTGGATGCAAACCAGAGACCTGGAATGGCATAGGGCTTCCGTGATGATGGGCGGGCTATGGACTTGGAACATCTGGGAACTCAGGAGTCGGGGATGCTTGTCCTGCTTTCGCTTGCTGAGAAGCTGCACTTCCTCAAGGGGGATATACAAGCGCCGCCCCCTTGAGGAAAACAGGCCCGTGGATAAGCCCTGCGCGTTTGCCAGCAAAGCCCTCCAGGTCAACAACTTACTTTACACAAGTCACTTCGGCTTGGACTTGTCACTTCAAACCACGCCTGTATTCGCGTTGCGGGACAAGCACAGCTCAGCTGAAACCCATGCAAACCAAGCGCCCAGTTGTTTGCTGACACTTGAAGCATGTCAAACCACCGGGGACTTCAAGCAGGCTAGGCTGTAGGATTTGGTGTTTGCCAAGTAATTTGCACTTGTGCTCATTCGATTTTCGTCCAGGCTCTCACGTTGGATCAACCCATAAACAACTCTATTTCCCTTTGCCCCAATAGCGGAAGTGGACACAAGGCATTAAACAGTGGAATCCATCCAAACGGCCGCCGCCCTTCATTCATTCGCCTGTCCCTAACATGCACGTAAGGGGGGATAATCTGGGAGACCAGTTTCCTCCAAAAGGGACCTCCTGATAGGTTCCATGTTGGCGGGGAGGACACTTCGGAAAACAATCCAGCTGTCCGGCGATCCTCGGAGGCGCCGGCGGCGCGGGCTGTGATGAGCGTAAGCACTGGACGCAGGCGTTTGCCACCTGCGTGGGCCCCGCTGACTCCGTCGAATCTGAGCACCCCCCAAGTTGCAAGCGCGCAAAAAGTGAGCACCACTTGAACCCAAGAGCTCAATCCATGCCTGACGTATCGCAAACCGTTGAGATTCTTGCCTGTTGATGTGCTCCATGAAATGGGACACCAAACCTTTGTCCAAACAATCCCACGAGGATTGGGACAAAAATGCAGCGAGACGGCTAGCTGTGGCCTTGCCTGCTAAAAATGGAATGGGATTTGAGTATTTCTGGGCCTGCGGCCTCTAGCCGGCTACGCCTCTTTGAAGTTATGCCACGTCATGTCATGTTTTGTGCATGAGAAACGTATCCTGTGCTATGATATGGCTATGTTGCCCACCTTAACCCCAGATAATGCCGGGGATGCCGGCTTTCTGGGCCCCAGCCGGGCCCCAACCCAGAAGGCTGACATGGGGTCGCGCGCACGCGCGCGCGCGCGCCAGAGGGCCCAACAAAAGCAGCCGAAAAAGAGCAGCCCGCAAGCCAGCCCGGAAACGCAAACGCAACAAAACACCGTAAATAGCAGCGTTTTGTGGCTGGGGTCGCGCGCGCGCGCGCCAAAAAGCCCGAAAACCAACGGGAAAAAAGCAAGGACTGCGCAGCGTGCGAGCCAGCCACAGCAAGAGCAAAACGGACAGAACAACAGCCTAACGCTCAGCGCAGCAGTTTTTTGCGGTATTTACAGCGTTTTGGAGAGCGAGGACCCAGCATCACCGGCATGCCCGGCAGCGCTTGGCGCCAAAATGCGCAAAAATGAGCCTCGCTTATACCCCTCCGATACCTTCTTAAAAACAGTGCTTTTTGGGTTGAGAGGGTTTTTAAAAGGAAGTCTTGATGATGCAGGCCAAGCCCCGCTGAAGCATCGCCCAGGCCCAACCCCAGACCCTGACGATGTCAGCCACATGCCTAAACCCTGCGTATACGCGACGTTTTGCGAGGGTTTCCCACAGGCAAGCAAAACCGCAAGCCGGAGCTGGTGATGCAGAGGTGCCGGATTTAGGCAGCGCATCAACGACCAAGTGGCGAGGGTCGGCGGCACCAGGGTGCACCCCCTATAGCTAAAGCTAGCAGGCTAATTGCCTAGCGGCGACATGCTATCCCAAGGAGGCGTAGCCGGATTCCCAGTGGGCATCTTCGTCGCCGACCCATGATACCCCTGTTTTCCATGTGCGACAGCCGAGCAACTACGAGGGTGCTTGTCCAAACAAAGCTTTGGCTTTGGTGGGTGTATGGGACCAAACTAGCTGCGAGGGCGTTTTCAAACGGGGGACCCCCCGGCCTATTTAACTTCGCATCAATGCAACAGCTTGCACCAATGTCCGGCCTGTTTGGAAGAGTCGGATCACCTCCTCACGCACCTCGGTGGGAAGGGGCCAGACACAACATGCCGGCAATGTGCTGCAGTTTGCTCGGCACCCGAAAGACCGGCACTACACAGGCAGACTTATGTGAAATCGGGCTGGATCTGGAGGATGACAGGGCATAACAGACATTGAGAGGGGAGAAAGCGACGGGTGGTTTCGATGGACAGCCTTCACGATATGCCGAATGCAAACCGACTGCAATGACATTGAAACCGAATGTGAACTGCGTCCGTACATGCAGCTACGGTCATAATCTGCAAGAAACAGCAAATCAATGCATATCATCATCATACCCAAGCAAAAAGTAGAACCTGCTCAAGACGACAAAGTGCTTCAACCCAGCGAAGCCAAAAAAAGGGTCAGGACAAATCAGTGTCCATCGCATCAGGCTGCAAAGACATGCTACGGCCCCACACCAAAGTTACTTGCGATAGGCCTGTCAATTTGCCTTTCGCCGAGGCATGCCGTTTTCTTCCGGCATTGCCCTATACACCGACTCATGCTTTTGGGAAGCCCTCTCGAGTGCCTTAAAAGGGCAACCCCCATTCTTGGAGTCCCCTATTATACCAACCCAATAGGACCCTCGAAACTTGTTTTTTTGCGTTTTGATCCCCTTTCACAACCGCCCCAAAAAGGGTACCAGCAAAAACCAGAGAGGCCCACTGTTGTCCATGCCAAGCTCTCCAAATCCACCGACACGGCCGGCCAAGGCGCGAGTCCGCTGGAGGCCGCCTGCGAGAGCCAAGCGCCCTCCAGCTGCGTGTTCACCATGGCGAGCTCCTGGGGCTCAAAACGGGCCCCCGGGCACAAAATGGACGCCCCTGTTCCTGTGGAGAGTCGAATATAACCGGGGACGAAGACCACAAATTCTGGAAAAGGGTGCCATACGTGATTTTAGAGGGAAACCCGCGATTTTAGAGGGAAACCCGCGATTTTAGAGGGAAACCCGCGATTTTAGAGGGAAACCCGCACAAACAAATGGGGCGGCCTTGCATGGGTGGGAGTTGGGGTTTTAGTCACCTCATTGCAGCTTGCCAATTGCCAAGGAACCAAGCTAAGGCAGCTTTGGAAGCGGGTGGGGCGAATCAACTTCCTGGACCTGGACAAGTTGACCCCTCCCACTCTGTGGCCTTGCCCACGCAGTTGAAGGACGTCTTCAGAGCTTCCTGGCACAGCCGGCTCAGCGGCCGTAGGACGTCTTCACGGCTTCACTGTGAGTTCCCGACAGATTGCCCCTTCTGCCCAGCGCCCTATCACACCGTCCCTGCCTTCGGCCCGTCAGGCCAAGCCATCTTCGGCCTTGCCGGCAAGGGCTCTGAGCTGAGCCCCGCGTTGATAAGCTCCTGGAGGCCCTTCTCGCTAGCCTGGATGCGGCCCGAACGGCGGGCCAGACCACCGTCCCCCCACGGAACTGTAATTTCATTGGCGCCTGTGGCAAACTGAGGGGGCAAGCAACATGAGAAGACCATGTCCAGGGACAGCCTGGAGTCCGAACAAGGAGGGGTGGTAAGGTGCACCCGACATTCAGTGACTTCATTGGGTTTTAAATGGTGAAGGGTATTTGGTGAGCATCCTTTCAGGAGACTGCTGGCAAAACATTGTGGTTTGAGGTGCCGGCCTGACATGATTCACGCCCAAGCGGTGTGACGGCCATTTCCACACATTAGTCATTAGGCGCGAGCATGGCGATGACTCATGAGTGACATCTGAGCACGCACAAGTGGCCTCACCTGCAAGACTTCTTGGGGACTCATGCGAATGCAAACTCCGACCATAAGCCAAGATTTGCCAAGATTTGCCAGATTTTAAAATCAGATCCATGTCCGGGGCTCTGCTGAACAAGCTTGCTTGCCCGCTGGCCCCAAACCACCACCCCTAAAGGGCAATATCGGGGATACAAAACAGCTGTGACTTCCGAAGGACTACTATTACCCAAGGGGAATAGTTGGGGCAGTCTCAGATTGGATCGAACCAAATCGCGGCAGCCAAATCACTTCACTCCATGCCTTTCTTGTTGACAGAAAGGTCAAATGAGTCATGGCTCTAAACGTGTCACAATTTGCTCATGTCGCACCCTTTCGCTTCGGCCACCAGCTTGTGGGGAGCTTTAGCTTACGCGACGCACGTGGAGGTTTGATTGCGCCACCAGCTTACGCCACCTTACGCACGCGGAGTTGTTGCGTCCGCACAGGTCAATATGACGCGACTCTTACTAAACATGTACACGGAGGTTATGGACTCAGATGCTGCAATTCGTCCTGGTGCCTATTCAAAATGGAACACCACGGAAGCCTTGCAAAGGTACTTGTCCCGCTCATCAAAGGGCATATCATTCTGATTCACCCCAGTGCCCAGCCACATGAAGACCCCCCAACCTCGAGCCAACGGGGACACCGGCTTTTCGCTCCATTTCTTGTTTTAAGGTCGAGCCCTCGACAAAAACGAAAAGCATCGCAGCGCCGGACGCAGGCTTTGCGCGCCTGGTCCCGGCGGAAGCCCATGCCCTTCAGATCGAAGCGGCCCCCGCCGGACTCGTCATGGCGCACATAGAGGTCTTCCAGCCTCGACCCAAGAGGTGCGTGTGGACTGATGGGTTTGGCTACCAAGAATGGGACCCACACCCGCAAAAACACCGGCCCCCTTTTCACTGTTCTAAAGGGAAGCCAAAACAAAACCAACCATCTTGAAAGTTCCCCTAGCCGAAAACGCCCCATAGTGGCCCACCCCCTCCTCCACAATGGTTGAGTTCCGTTTTTTAAAGCTAGCACCAAAAGGTACCATCCGAAAAACAGAGAGATGAAGTCCGGCCTGTCTGGCCTTGGTCGGCTCTCCAAAATGCAAAATGGAGGGTTGGCCAATCCTAATCTATTGTCTACCCCAATTGGAACACCACAAAGGCGATCCCCATCAGCCAAGGGGTTGGGGCCAATGATTGCCTTTGAAGGGCCCTGGCTTTCCTAGGAAAGCCCTGGAATTGATTTTGTCGGAGCGTCCATCTCTCAGCTTTGAGAATCACATGTATTTCGCCAATGAATGGTTTCCAAACGGTCAATTGCAAAACAGCCTGCCATCAAGGGCATGTTACGGATGTTAGAAAGAGTAGAGATGACACCGAGCCGCTCCGGTAGAAGAAGGCAGGCAGGAGCACGGTGTCTTCTACTCAATTCGCTGAATTGGGGTCACTTTTCGGCAACATGTGTCCATTCACTGTCTTTTCCGGCCCTTTGTGATTGCAAGCGCTGCTCTGAGTGCAACCTTTCACCAAATTCTTCAATATCTGTTGTCGGCTGCTGACAAACCACATCGCCTTTGGAGGTGTTACAATGCCATCCGAAACAGCAACAAGGCCCATTCATGGCCATTGACAAGAGAAGGCAGTCCTACAAGGCCTGAAGGAGTGACTGTCCCCTCACGAGTGACGACAGCGCGATTGAGGAATCCGAACGCTGCAGGCTTGCCTCCAAATGACAATGCCTTCCATTGCCCTCCTAATGAGTTTGGGGAAGACATGAAGACATTCAGATTCACCTCGCCCAAGAGATGCAAAGCCCTGGACATCCATTCTGAGGATTCATGAACCTCTGGATCCTGCTAACTGTCCAAGGGGTTGCAGCCACACTGGGCCATGCCTCCCAAAGCATCCCAAAGTAGAGACGCCCGACCTAAGGATTACGGCGCTTCTCAGCCCGGGCGCATCTTCTGCAGAGACTCCACGTCCTCCATCGTCAGGCCTTTCTGCTTCTTCACGTCGGACTTTTTGAGCAGCTCCTTTGGCGCGGGCGAAGCGGCGACCCTGCGGAGGCAGTTGTGCAGTTGCCAAGAGGGATCCGACGGGGAAAACCTGCTCATTGGATTTCATCTATCCCAACTGGTCCATGCACAGTAGGCCGGCCCCTAAGACCCCCGAAGGCCCCCCCCTTCGGGGCTCCAATCATAAGGTGCCAGCCATCGGTTTCGACCAATATTGGCCCTTGATTTGTGTGGGTCTGAGAAATCTACAGTGTAAACGAAACTAAAGGTTCATGCGCAACACCCTGGACCCCAATTTTGGCCTGAAGCATGCCCTTTTATCACAAGATGTCCGCTGAGGTTCAAACATGTCTGGATTGCTTGAGCTGGAAGGTGGCCGCTTGCCACAACAGGGATCTTAAACTCAAAAACATACACTTCAAAATCTGTGAACGCGATGGCGTGTTTCCAATGCTCAAGTGAACAGGTCACGTCCACTGAGCGCCGAGGTTGCCTGGGCACGTGCCTTGGACACCCAGCCACAACCCCCGAAACAAATCGTACTCAAAAGGCTCCAGCTACCATGCGTCAATATAAACTGAACTAAGACCCTGGAAGCGATGGCTGCATCAACTTGCCTCAAGGTGTTAGATCCAGGCATCTGCTTGTCCATGGTGTCCTTTTGGCAAAACAAATGAAACTAAACCATCTCCATCAATTGCCCAAACTGGACAATTGAAAGGACCACTGGGTCAGAACAGAACAGGTTGGGATCATCCCTTGCACTGACTGATGCAACCGTTTTCGACTTTCCCAATACGTGCTCCTTGATGGTCTGGCCGCAGGACCGCTCCACGCGGTGCGCCAGGCGCCTCAGGCCCCGCAAGGCCATGGAGCCTGGCGGACTCTGAGGCGCAAGTGGCAGCATCAAAATTGGTCCGCCTTTACGCTCCTTTATAAAACCAACCACGAAGGGTACCGTCAAAAAAAGACCGGGAAGCCGCCTGACTTTAAAATGTTCACTTTTTAGGTGAGAGATGGGGCTGAGAAAGTTGGAGAGGAACTGCTTCCTGGAAAAGATGGCTGCACAAGAAAGGCAAGTGTGAACATTATGTCAATAGGGCACTGGAGCTTCAACCTCTATGTGCCAATGCGTCACATGAGTTGCATTAAGCCAACCTTCTCCTTGGATGACGTATCCATCAGCAAGTTGGCCTCCAAAAAGAAGTGGCTTTGTCAAAAGCCCATGTCAATTTTGAGTTGTCAAGAGTCAAGTGCGTCGTAGGACAACCTCCCTCTTTTGCAGGTCAACAGGCACAGCGCGGGTTTAAGCGCAGAGCAAGCTTCAAGAAGCGGATCCAACCAGATTGACAAACTTCTCACGCGATCCTGAAGCATGAAATCTGCGCCAGCAGTTGTGTGGCATCTCGTGCCCCCCGTCCCTCCTACCGACGCGAACGAACCTTTCACCAACTGGGTTCCTTCCTGGAAACATGACGTGTTCCACAGGCGGAGCCTTGACCCTCCCATTCACTACGAAAGAATCTGAGGGAGCTCGAAAAAGTACATCATGTTTGCGCCTTTCACCACCTGCAAAGAACAGGATACCAGCCGGATCTAAGCCCCTAATGTTTTTTTCTCGGGGGCCACGGCTACCTCCGAGTTTTGCCGCCAACTTCCCAAACATGACATCTGTAGATTCTGGCAACCATCTTCAGCCTCGGAATGCAAAATGGTCACAAGCCTTTCGACATCAGTTGATCTGGAACCTCTTCCAGCTCAAAACTCGACCTGACTGATCTGCTGAGCCGTGCCCTTGAACGCTCCTGGAATCAAACAAGTGGAGCAACTTTGCTGTCCGGTTTCTTGTTTTTCTCGGATTCCAGCTGCTGGAGGTTGGTGGCATCGCCCCGAATTTGCTCTTGAACCATGCCCTGGCCACCTTTGGCAATCAGCGGGTCCGCGCCTTGGAGGTGGCCCATTTCACTGCCCCGCAGCACCTCCTTGGCCGAGACCGCCAGCCACAGCGCTGCATCCTCCCAGGGGCGAGTAATTTCCCCATCCCCAAACCACGAAACAGCCGCTTCAACCCCCGAGGGAAAAAGCCCAACAAAAGGTCTCACAAACACCAAACCATCCATATACCAAACCATCCAAATACAAAGGGTGTGCATTCCCAAGTCAATTTGGGGGGGGTGGTTTGGAGTGGCTGCGCCGGCTTTTCAAAAGAACAATGGTTTGAAGAATGGTGAAGCCGGGAAGGTAACTCGAAATCCAACTAGGACCCCCTTGAAAAGCTCACATCTTGTGTGGTTTTGCTTGCGAGGTGTTGCAATCCTGCAACCACCGTACCTTGCAACAGGCGAAACCTGCTGTTCAGGTCAGGCCAACTGCTGACTGCGCAATTAAACCCAATGACCTGACAAGGAAATTGAGTAGGCGATGCAAGTATCTTTTATTGGGTAAAAATCAAAGCAATCATCGATTCTCCCCTTTTGTTTAGTTGACGGCCCTTTGTTAATCAGCTGGTGGGCCACATGATGCATTCGGGGCTCAGCGTCCTGTGACGCTATGTCATCCCGGAACTGGGCCAACTGCAAAGCTGCGCCCAGGTTGGTGCCATACCTGAGTGTATCCAGCTCTCACGGCTCTGTGCATGCCTCATGCTTGCTCGAGAAAAACACATGCGAACACTCTACCGAAAGGCCAATAGCCAATAATATAAATGTTTGTGTTCTTGTGCTACGTAGCTTCCAGCCATGGAGGTCCTCCCGGACTGCTCTGCACACCAGATCTTTGTTCTCTGGCATCGCGGCCGGTTTGCCCAAGATCAAACAGATGCAACCATACAACTAGAATATTGGGTCTGGTCTGGTCGAACCTCGGACATGCTTCAACCAATTCAGCACCAGCACATGATTGCCTAGTGAGCCGCTCGGCATGGGGACGCTACACCCCAAGTGCCCATTGATTGCACACGAATATGCAGACTGCACAAGTTCCATCCTCCCGCCACAAGTCCAGGACACATTGGCAAGCAACATCTGCTCAGCTCGTCTTTTATAGGCACTATTCTCTTGCAAATCAACATGGACCCCCAACAAAGGGTTCCTCAAAGGAGACTCGCCGACAAACGATGGCTTGCTAGGTTGTAAGTCTGCGACGTCCTAGATAACAGGCTCCACTATTGCCAGCGCACCACGCCAGGCTAAGCTGATCTGACATGCAAAAGCGCTCCAACGCACGGTGGGAGCCAAGCGGAAGCAACACCCAGCAAGCACACGGGTTGCCAAAGAAAACCCAACCGCTCCCTCTCAAATGCGTTGACATCGGGTTTACCCTACTTTGGGCAATTGACAGGCTCCTGTGTATCTTCTTTACGGCGCCTATCAATACCTTATCAAAAGTGAAGGTCCGTCCCCTGTTCGCACTGGGCGGATGCCAACTGCATTTGGCAACTCCCGGTTTCAAAAACAAATAAGGATGCCACTAACTAAACCGGACGCTCTGCGTTTGGGCGCCAGTCATGGTTCCTAACACGAAGCCTCAGCCGGACCCAACTGCAGGGCGCATGCGCAGAGCGTTCACCACCGGCTTGCCCACGCCGCTGATCCAGGCCGCGCCGCTGGCCACGGCACTGAAGTAGCCTCGAGAGGCTGGATAGGTGGATGTGTTGTTATGAGGGACGCCCTGTTCTGGGTCGTCCCCCTTTTAGCGCATAAATTGACATTTCTTTTTGTCCAGGTAGGCTGGAAGGCAACCCCAAGGAACACCAAAATTGTTTGCGCCTCCCTAGTTGACACATACACAAGTACGACCAAAGCTTAGAAACTTGCGAAGTTGGGCCGCCGAAATTGCACAACTCACTTGCTTAGATGACTGGCTAGGAAAAGAATATGCTTTGTGAGCTCGACTAAAATAGGAAAATCTAGCCACAAAAAGCTTCACAAAGACGAGGCTTGCTTGCGAATTTCGTGTTTTGGAGGCGCCCCGCTGCAAAGGACATGCGCAGCCTGATGGCGGTGCATGGCCCAATCGCCATAGACATTGCCGCTTGCACGGACTGGGGAAGGAAGGGGCTGATTTAGCATCAAAAACTCAACGGGCACCCACAGCATGGCACAAGAGCCCGGGCAACGCGCCATCAGGACGCAGACAGAGCCCCGGCCATACTGTGCATTAGCATCACCTGACCCAGCTTTTGCCATCAGTGGCAAGCTGCAAAACCAACACGAAATTACTACAAACTGGTACGGCCATGGCAGGGGAGCACAAAGTCAACGGCTGATAAATTTGAAGCCTGCCCCGCCAATTGCACAGCGACTACCCCCAGGACGTCAAAGAGTGGTCCCTTCACCGCTGCTGTTTCTGGCAAATTCTGACGAGGCGCTGCCCGCGCGGACGTACGCCGCGTGCAAGGCGGCCTTGGCACCTGGCCAAGGGGCCCCAAGTGGCCCGCCGCGTTTGTTCGACCGGGCGGCTTGCACTTCCGAAAAAGGGCCCTCCACAAACAACTAAGGCAGTTGAACTGAACTGCTGAACCTTCTTGACGCATTGAATCTCATTGACTTGTGGCTTCGTACCCTGGGCTGAGTATATCTCAACACGGCGACCATTGGTCAAATGTCGCATTCAAGTTGGGAGGTTCGTCAACCAAATCTAGCAGTCGTGAAGCGACCGGTGTAGGAGTTCAAACGGCACATGGCAACTGTTTATGTTGTGTTGCCGACATGTTGCTCCATGTGTCGGATATGGGGTATTGTGGGTCTATTTTTTGCCATCCACTGAGATTTAGAAAAGCTGGGCTCCCATCCAACAATATCTGGGAAACATGCTAGAAATCACCAACTGGAACGAGCTGGCAAAACAGGAACCATCATTATGGGTGCGTGCGCCCTGCTCAGCGACATTGTGACAGCTTGTGCAATTTCACTGATCCAAGGTTGCTTCAGCGCAACATGCCAGGTTTCCTCAATCAGCTCCTTGGGATTCGAACAGGCTACTGCTGCTTTGGGGCAGGCTGCTATAGGCTGGGCCTTGGGCTGGTGTAGGCGCATCCAGGGCGGGTAGAGGGCTGAGCTTGTCTAGGCTAGATTGATGCCGGAAGCCAGATTTTATTGCGATTGGCTGAGCGTAAGCGCTTGGCCAAAATAGGATGGATGAAGGGTTGGCGGTATGGGTATGTGCAACCTCATTCAGCATTTAGGCTGGGTGCATGTTTCACATCTGCCTGCAGGAAGCTGCTTGATACAGTCACAGGCACGCAGACCGCGGGCGTTTTTAAACACATTGACACTCCGTTGGGGAAAAAGCAATGAAATAAATGTGCGTAATGCATACTGGCATGTGGATACATGCATGCACATGGACAAGGGAGCGCAGCACGGTTCCCACTGTGCTCCATCAACACCCCAAATGCCTTACCTGTGAGAAGAAGGACGCAACAAAAACTGATCTGCAACAAATTAACAGGGAAGATGGGGCCACAAATGGAGATCTCCAAGGGTCACCCAAAATCCCTACCAATGTCACTTGTAGGGAAATGGATACTCAATATGCGAGTCCAGTCGGCTCGTCAGCCGTCGGGCCAGCCTAATTCCCCCACGCTGCCGCCCTCCAGATCCGCTGGCGCAGCTCCGCCTTTGGAAGAGCCATCAGACACGTCCTCGGAGCCGTGGCAGAGGCCACACCCAGCTGTGTCTAGGCGCAAAGGGGAAGGACCCAAAGCAAAAAGATTGGGCCGCCTCAGTACTTGCAGTTCGGCTTGCAAAATGGCTTTGCAACTTTGGCTACAAGCTCTGCGGGCTCTGCGCCGCCCTTCGCAGCTCCCAGCCAAGGCGCTTGGATCATCCGTGAGGTCAGTCGAATCGCTGGCAAAGAGCCCAACTCCGCCAGCATCCACTGGCCCTGGCAGGGTGACTTCAGTTTCTTGCCTTCTCAAGAGGCGAACCTTTTAACAACACGACAAGGAGACCATCAAGGGCTGGCAAGCTGGTTTTTGTGGGGGCTGTGCGACACTCTTTGTTTAATGATTCCTTCAGCGCGGGCACCCAAGGCTCATTTGCCACGGGTGGGCCGCCAAATTCAAGGGCGATGAAGGAAAATGAGGCCCACGGCTGAAACTTAACCAAGAAGGGAGCAACAAACTCTGCAGATTCACACCTCTTCCTCCACGTGGCTTTTGGGTTGCTTGCAATCAATGGAAGGATTGCTAGGTAGGTGCCCTGTCGAAAACTGGATCTGGCACGGCCAAGCAACGGGGTCCTTTTGTGCTACTGTTCTCAGGAGCACGTTAGTCGTGACAGCCAGGCTGAAAAAAAAAAGTGCTTGCAGATTTCATCAGGACCCTTTGGCATGCAGAATGTCGATCGAATGGCAGCCTACCACAAGGGCATGACAACGTGAAGTCTGTTCCTGTTCTTGAAGCCTTTTGCTACAGCGGACCGACACTTCCAAAGCTTTACAACGGGAAGCGAGCTCAGGCTCGGGAACTCAACCTTGCCCACCCCACAGTGCAGGCCATCCGCCATGCCAGTCAGCGGCTTCATGACCGACATAAGCTCAGTTCACACCTACGTCTACTCCAAAACTTCTTGTTGGTCTCCCCCCGGCCGCCCACCACCGTGCCTCAGCATAAAAAAAGTCACCGCCCAGCAATCGCATCTTGCTGGAATCCCCAAACTGCATGCCCAAATGAAGCCTCAGCGTGGTAAGGATACCCTTCGAATGTCAACAGCTTCTGTCATTCAAGCAAGTGGCTGAAACAAGCCTGAAACAAACGCACCAGCAGTTCGCCCGCCTCGTGAAAGACAGCTTGACAAGTAACAAGGCAGTTCACAATTGGTCATGATCATCCTTTTGAGCATGGCCAAGACCACCCTGGATCCAAACAGCCAACAGTGGCCTGCGAGCTGCTTGTAGCTTCTGCTTGCCATTGACAAATCTAATCCGTCTCATGTGCTTTGCGATTCACTTGTGTACGATGTGCTATCATGCAAGATTGGAGCCAACACACATGTTGGAGCAAGGCACAAGGCAAAGTGTCCAAGCATTAACCATGGCTGACGTTGAAAGCAAAAAGAGGCTGTCAGCCAAAGCCCCTTTGCTTCCTTTGGAGGAAACATCAAAATCTGATATGGTCCATTCATTCTCCTGACTGGGGGCGGGGCTCTGGTGGGTTCCAGACCAAGGCAGGGTCCACGTAGTAGACTTCCCCAAGTAGACTTCATTAAACGCAGGGATGGTTCTCCCAAGAGCACCTCCTGGGTCGAATTTCAACGGATCCCTGCTCCGAGCCGCTTGCCAGCGGTGAAGAGCAGTGCCTCCGCCTCCCCGAGCTGTCGGAAGTCCGTCAAGCCCCGCTCGGGCGCCAAAGCCCGGCCCGCCAGCACCGCCACCGTTACCTGGGGTTAAAAGCTCCCAAAATTACAGAGGCCCAACTACATGGGCCTAAGGAAGGATGCATACTTGCAACAATAGCTTCCAGGATGCATGAAAGTGCTGAATCTATCAGCTATCTACAAAGGGAACATTACAGGGAAGACCTGTACCAGGAGGTGACGTCACATCTGGGTTTCCTTCCTTCACAGCGGGGACCTACAGAGGTGGCCGCCCAGACGCCTTTTCAGCGAGAATGCCATTGCGTGTCTACCGACATGCACGCCCGGCTCGGGATGTGTCCAAACTAGCAAGACAATGTTAGGAAGGCAACATCCGGAGGGAATCAGCATGAAACTGATTCCACTATCGGAGGTGTTCGGGGGGGGGTCCGGGTCCCAGCGGCTGAGAGGACGAATTGCAAACTCAAGCAGGCCAAGCTCTGCTACGGTCTCAGGGCTGGCATTTCGAAGATGTCTCCAAACAAAGGTCGCCGTGGATAGTGTTGTACATTTAGGGAAGGAAAAGTGGATGGATAGGTCCGCACAAAACATACCGTCAACAGGCCAACACAGAAACATACATGCACAAAAGCATTGTCTACCAGGAAAGCGCTCCAACTTGCAATCATTCGTGTTCATGAGGGGAAGGAAAACTCAAGCATTGTGCTAGCAACGTTGAGACACTCCTTCCTTTAACCAATTCTCATTGGCAGCTTCATTGAAAGATGGATGCCATCAAGCAACCATTTTCTCGCTGCACCCCTCAGAATCGAAACGGGATGAAAGCATTCGTTGGAAGATCCAGGAAGGTGAAGGAGATCCTGACCTGCGACCTGTGCCAACAACACTTGCCAAGGCATGAGCCGTTGGTTTCCCATTAGGTTTGTTTTTCCGGGACCCGACAAGGGCACCAACTCCCCAAAGAAGACACACACTTCAACTTCACACCCAGACCTCCAGTGGTTGTTGGCCAGCAGGTGATTGAAAGAAAGCGGAAACCCTAAAACAAAAAGACCAACCGAGCGCTGAAGGTCTGGGCCGTTCTGAGGCCATTTCGCAAAGCCAAGGCGCCAGCAGCGCTGGCACCTCCTCCAGCGTGTCCGCCGAGTTCCGCAGCATCTGCCGGAAGCTCCGGGGCGCCAGCGAGGCCTCGCGTCGGTCGTGCGGTCGAGCGGTCGATGACGTCGTGGCTTGGGCGACAAAGTTGTTGCCACCAAAGTGGTCCCCAAAGGTTTAATGTCCAAAGAACTCAGAAAGCGAGCCTTGCCAACCAGACTGTAATCCGACTCGCCAAACAAGTGCCATGGCAGGAGGGAAGCACAACTCCAGCCAGATTTGTACAGGAGCGCAGGTAAGCGCGCCAACCATGTTTGTTTGCCTTGATCCTGCCAAGTGGTAAGAGAAAAAGTACATCAAGCGCTTCTATGCGAATTGGGATGGTTTAGCGGAATCATCAAGCTTGGGCAGCTTAAGCTTGACATGGGCACGGTTGAAGCCAGAATGGAAATAGCTATTGCTGAGACAAAGCCCTTGGCAATAGCTCGAGTTCAGAAAACAAAGCAAGCTTTGGCTTTGTGGGCTCTGCGAAGGTATCTTGTGTTGCTTAGCATGTTTGACTCCATGTCTGCACGTTTGACTCCATGTCTGCACAAGTGCCTGGACAATGGATGCTGGAAACAGTCTAGCTGTCACTATTCCCTCCCAAACACAACAGCCTAACAAGCTTGGAAGTCAAATCGGTTCCGGTTCAAGAGCAGTTGCTCCTTTCGAGATGTTCCCAAACCTGTGATTTGTTTGGTGTCACCCGGGTTGCGCACTCGGCCAGAACTGGCCATCCCCCCCGGATATCGATGCCTTAGAGCGGAGGTCCCTGCGGGAGTTGATGAGCTGCAAGCGCACCGGCAGAGGCAGCGCAGGATCTAAGGCAACAGCCTGGCCAAGCCGTACGAAGCCCCTTGGGTTTCCCGAAAACATGCGTACACCAAGGCGCACCACGACCAAGCCGGCAAGCAGTAAGTTGCATTGAACGCCCCGTACCTCCCTGCGCTTGGCGCCAGGACCCTTGGCCCCGCCTGGGCTCCGCCGAAGAGTTTCCGTCGGAGGCCCTGCAGCGCCCCCACGGTGAAGCCCAGCCAGGACAGGTACCGGGGCCAGACGATGGACCTCTGTGCAAGCCGTTGGGAGGAGGCGGAGGAGGAAGGCAAGTGGCGCGTAGACGTCAGATGAGGTTGACCTTTGATGTCTCTTTGAAACGAACGTGGCAACCCACTGGTGTCTCAAAACGAGCCTGGAAAAATGGCTCCCTGAAACGGTTGATGGGTTCCTGCGGGGACTCAAAAGAAGAAGAAGTTTTGAGAGGACATGAAGGAGCTCCTTTGCACGTGGAGGCGCTCGTGGTTCACTGAGCTATTGCAGAAAGCGAGGAGGCCGCTGCCAGGCTGGATTCAATCCGAAGCAGGCCAAGCACATGTGGCAGCGCAGAACCAACAATGTGGGCATGCGCCCAAGCCGAATTGCAAACACCCTTGCCATTGACCATTTAGAGGGGTCGTTTTGGCGCGGACCCAGGAGGCTGTGAAAACCATGTACCTTGTCAAGTGTCTAGTTTGCTTTGGTCCTGCTTCACCTGGTGTTGACACATGGATCCTATGTAAAAAAACCTATCATTTTCTCGAGGAAACTCCCAAACTCCCGTTTTGTTCCTTCGGCCTGTCCATGTTGAAAGGAGGTATCACCGGAAACCACCATTTGGAGTTCAATTTGAGGATGCCACCTCCATGGACTCAAAATGCTGCGCCAAGGTGCGCTGCCGGTGGCGGGGGCGGGTAGTCAAGCATCGGCTTTGCAGGGCGGCCGCCCTGGTGTTTCGGTGGGGCATATGTACTGCTCCTTTTTGAACTCTTATACGGGTGTGTGCTTTTTGAGGGTACGCACTTTAGGTTGGCACAAACGAAAGCCAATAGGACAGCCATAGTTTCTTCTCTCCTCCAATTTTGACACATGCATACTCTTTTTCAAGCGGCGAGTTTTTCGAGGCTGAGATGGGTTTCTGGATGGATCGAACAAATACTGTGCCTCACTTTTCTCAGAAAGGAAGATCAAGTTACTAACAGTGTCCCGGAAGGTATAAAAAAAGGAAAACCATTTCGACCCACCAAAACATAGGAAAGGGTGCCACTGAACAACTGGGGGGAAGGACAAGGGAAAAGCTGGAAGGTGCTGTAAGGGCTGACGTCTGACATTTTTCTGTCAAGCCCGAGAAGGAGATTGAAAGGATTGGCCGAAGAACTGGAACAAGGAACAACAACAGCACCTGCCATGGAACCTAAGTGAACCCTGCCAATACAAATCTGAGCCTGCAAAGCAAGGGTTGCGTCAATGAATGCGGCGGTAGAGCGGCCCGTCCCCTCACGGACTGAACGCTCAAGAACGGTGGGCGTCCCGAACACAACAAGCGGCACTCATCATACGATATGGGTTCCAAAAGGAGCCGTATATATGTATATAGAGAAACTTGGCGCAAAGAGCAGGCACCTAGGACCCGGGGGCAGGCACCAATACCACCAACATCCATAGAGCCTTTTTAAGCCTCCCACCCCAAACCAACATATCGAGCCTCGCACCGCAGAGTTGTGCACTTGCCTTGGACGGACTCATGCCGCAGTCGACATACAATGCTTCCCATGGCGCGTCCCCAAGGAAATTCACGGACATGTTGAAGCCTACCCAAAGATGTGTGTGCGTGTGTGTGTGTGTCTCTGTGTGTCCCTGTGTGTCTCTGTGTCTCTGTGTGTCCCTGTGTGTCTCTGCGTGTCTCTGTGTATTTCTGTGTGTCCCTGTGTGTCTCTGTGTCTCTGTGTGTCTCTGTGTGTGTCCCTGAATCCCTGTGTGTGTCTGTGTGTGTCTGTGTGTCCCTGTGTGTGTGTGTGTGTGTGCCTCTGTGTGTCTCTGTGTGTCGCTGTGTGTTTCTGTGTGTCTCTGTGTGTCCATGGGTGTCTCTGTGTGTGTCTGTGTGTGTGTGTGTCTGCGTGTGTGTCTGTGTGTCTGTGTGTGTGTGTGTCTGCGTGTGTGCCTGTGTGTCTTTGTGTTTGTGTGTGTGTCCGTGTGTGTCTGTGTGTGTGTGTGTCTGTGTGTGTGCGTCTCTGTGTGTGTCAATGTGTGTCTGTGTGTGTGTGTCCGTGTGTGTGTGTGTGTGTCTGTGTGTGTGTGTGTGTCTGTGTGTGTGTGTCTGTGTGTGTGTCTCTGTGTGTGTGTGTGTGTCTGTGTGTGTCTGTGTCTGTGTGTGTGTGTCTGTGTGTCTGTGAGTGTCTGTGTCTGTGTGTGTCTGTCTGTGTCTGTCTGTCTATCTGTCTGTCTCTCTGTGTCTCTGTCTCTGTCTCTGTCTCTGTCTCTGTCTTTGTCTCTGTCTCTGTCTCTGTCTGTCTGTCTGTCTCTGTCTGTCTGTCTGTGTGTGTCTGTCTGTGTGCGTGTGTGTCTGTGCGTGTGCGTGTGCGTGTGCTGCGCGTGCGCGTGCGCGTGCGCGTGCGCATGGGCGTGGGCGTGCGCGTGGGCGTGGGCGTGGGCGTTGGTGTGGGCGTGGGCGTGTGTGTGTGTGTGCCTGTGTGTGTGTGTGTGTGTCTGTGTGTCTGTGTGTGTGTGTGTCTGTGTGTGTGTGTGTTTGATGGCCCTGGATGCAAAGGCCAAGACAATCAGCAAGAACGCCAAGCCAATGGACAAGACACTGAATCGTTTAATACTGTACCCCCCTTGTTATCATGAATAAATATGGTCATGTGATGGACACCTGGAAGGCGGTTCTGTTCAGAGAGCACCCATCATCCATACTAAGAGCCCTTGCCATGGCACACATAAGCCAGTAGTAGACGACACAATTCTCAGTCCATTAAAGCGACATCCTCGAAATGATTCCAAATTTGTCGTTTGAAGGACAAAAACACAATTTGTTGAGAAGGCCTCAAGATGCTAACGTTGAGGCACGCAGCACTGGTTTGAGCCTTTACTCAGCTCCGTGCCGCGACGGCCGCCGCTGGCGCTGGCGCCGCGCGAGAGGCTGAGCCAAGCGGAGCCAAGGCATTCCCTTGGCGCATGGGCCCCATGGGCACCAAATCAAAGGGATGCTCGGCGCTTATCCTTGTGACGCATGCAAGGATATGCAGGGAACCTGGTACAGGAGGCAAGATGGGAAGTGGGAGAATGGGAAGATCACGTTTGGTGGGAGAGGGAAGCCAAATCCGGAGAGCAATCGGAATTGTTGCGAGTACAGGGGTATAGTGGAGGAAAACAAATGAGTGTCAGACCAGCATGTGTATCCTGGAGGCTTCACCCCAACACGCTGTCAAGATTGGGTCGGAGTTCCGTACCTCCAAACGCACTTGCCAAGCCATCTCCCGGTTTGGCCACATTGAGAAATGACAAGGAAGGGCTTCATGTAGTTGCGCAATTGCAATGCCCATGTTGACCACCCAGATAAAGAGAGCATATCACAACCACTGCTGTCAGCAGGCCTGCCATGCCATGCAATACCCATGCATGTGCTGCAATCAGGTTTGCTTCAAGGAACCCTGGCCCCCTCATTCCCTCTCAGCTCCGTGGCCGTTGGCTCCAAATGGCCAGCACCAGCAGCAGGCTTGCGCTCCCGGTTCTCGAACAGCGGCCCATGGCGTGTGCTTCGGCAGGGCTGACGCGGCAGCTTTTCAGGCAGCGGCCGTGCTTTTCACTTGGGCAACTGGGAGGTGTGCCTAAGACCTTGACAGCTCCCGCGCTATCTCCGGAATGAGCCAGGCACTCCTCGGACCTAAGCAAAGCTGGAGGGTTGCTGCGATTTGCTCGCCGAAAATGGTTTGATGATGTGTGAGGAAGCGAATGGCATCTGACATGAGCAAGGTGCCTTCGAGTTGCAGCCTTGGGAGACCTGTGACAAAGGGTTGCCAGCCTGGTGACATCCAGCATGAGATGGGATCGTTGTCCATGGGCCTTGCATCTGCCTTCCTGCTTGACCCTCCGCATTGAGCCAAAAAAACACCGAGCAGCTCCGGGCAGCTCTGCATTGGGGAATGCGAGACACTTCCCGCATTCCTCACTGAAAAGCTGGGACGATACCTTGGTCGACCTGGATCCGCCAAGCTAAGGCGAAGTGCGCTGCAATGTGTCTTACCTTTGGGAAGGCCAACCCACAAATTATTCATGGCATATATACACGTATATACACCTGCATACGCATCTTGCACTTGGCAGGTATTGCAGCACGTCTCTGGTCACCTTGTTACGCGGCAGCTTTCACTTGACTGGCATTGGTTGATTCTGCTCCTCACGAGCTCCAAAAAGCAACTTCTGGGCATGCGAGGTCTAAAGTGCGCGCCGAATCGAGCAGGATTTGTCTTGAGAGCTCCCTTCAAGCACCCATTGCCATTCTCGAGGTGGTGTCGGCTCCGGTTTCGGCAAACATTCATCGCTGCTCTGTCACGGCGTGCCGCTCCCAAGACTTGGTCATATTTGCTCCCGGCTTATCAAACCTCAATTATCTGGGGAGGCGGGGCCTTGCGGGGGACTTGCGAGTTCCCTACAACTTGCTGCCAGCACCCAGGTGGCCCATCCGCGCCGCCCTGTCGCAGAACCGCCGCCTCAGGGAGCGCCAGAGTGGTCGCCATCTTCTTGAAGCCCCGGTGAGTGTCGTAGAATCTCCTCGGCCAGCTGACTTTCTGGCTCGGAGGGCTCCTTATGTCTTTCAACATCACCCCGCTGAATCAAACATCAATTTCCACTTGGCCCAAACTCGATATCTGACATGTACAGGACCGATGAGTAGAGGCGACGCCGTCACACTCCCCTCGTCCAGGAAGTGAAACAGCAGCGCGCAAGTTCCGCACACCTTTTCTTGGTTGCGATGAGCTGCGGGGCAGTTCCGACGTCTGGCTTTCGAGTCGCATTTGTTCGCCAGTTGAAACAACGCGATACAAAGAAAGGACACCAATGCGCTCTTCGGAAACATGTGTTCCTATGTGCCCCTGGCGATGACCGGCCGAAGTCACGGACTCTGATTGCTGCAGGCTAAAGAATTTGCAAAGTCGCTGCAATGTGCGACCGGGCTCGCAGGCCGGTGTTCGGCCATGTTCAGCCTGCTGGTCAACTTGGCAAAGGAAGGGACCAGAAGTTCAACATGTGCCCTCCGACCTGTTTGACCCTCTCTATTTCAGTGTTTTGTCACTTTCGGGAGGGAATATCTTTGCGGTTCGTGACTCAAATCAAGACACAACTGATTGACAAAGGTGCCACCGGCTTGAGATCATTTGGAAAGGCAAGCAGCGACCAACAAGTTGACAGTCAAAAGCAAAGGCGGCAAAAGGACGCCAGTGTTTTTTCCGAGTGACTCTGCCACAGCAGGTTCAAAGTAAGTGCTAAACTGGCTGAGAAAGTACAGTAAACACATGGCTGTTTCCCTGTGGGGTCTGCCTACCTGCACCATCCATTCAAGCAATCTTTAGGCACCGCAGGTGCACCGTGCGCTTGCCATGCTGAGTTGGGCCGCTTTCCTATTCCCAAGTAAAAGTCAAAGTGGGATGCGAAAACAATTGTTAGGCCCTTAGACGGGACAACAGGGCCTGCTGAAGCATCATGTCCGCATCTTCATCAGTGCCCCCCCATTATCAATATGTCACTTCCAGACCCCATATGTCCCCAAATACGAAATTGTTTTCACCAACACGTATGTGAATGTCAATTGTGCATCTCCGTTTGGAACTGACAAATTCGGAACAGGGCTTGATTACTGACTCAGCCAATTGCGATTGGACGCCTCCATGGAGCAGAAACCCGCTGCGACCCCCTGATTATTAGGGGAAGCGATATGAAACAAAAACAACACACACACATACACACAGATGAGACTCATCCAGCAAGAGAAGGAAATGAGACCGAATCATGCAACATGCCCTGGTCCCATCGCACAGGAGGCCCTGAGACCCTCCCACGTGCAACAGGTATGTCCATTGGTTTCTGTTCGAATCCTCGAGAAGAGGTCGGCATCCTGAGGTTGCTGGTCAAGTTGTCCCTTGAAGCAATCCCAGTGATTCCATTTCCCTGCTTAGGTAACCAAGGGAAATGTCCTTTCAAAACCAAAAGGAGAGTTGCTGGTTACTTTTTATGAGTTTGGACTTTGTGGCAGCTTCCTGGCTATCCGAAGGTGGGAGGCCCCACCCGCCAAAACCTTTCGACGCATTTCCAGGTTCGGCGCTTGCCTCACGAGGCTGCTTGGGGCTGCGGGCTTCGAAGAAGCCGCTCATCCGATTGGGAGACCTCGGCGATCGGCGAGGTGAGCTGGCAAAGCAACAAATGGGGAGGATGGCCAAATAACATATATATATATATATTTCAATGTTTGCTTGGCGGGGTGTCTGTCTCATCCGCACTCAAAGGAGCATGTGCATTTGTTTTAGAAGACGTGACTTTACACGATAACACACGCCACAAGTTGCTTCCGCGTCGTTCCTCGAAACGTGCCCCATCGTAGCCTGAAGCATCCCGAGCCAGCAAGCGCGTTTCTGCGCAGAGGAAGATTCTGTATAGGTGTCTGCGTCGCAAGAACAATCCTTGTGTCATGTGGATGTGTGCCTCCTGGTGATTTGTAAGCAATATGTGCTTGCTGTGCATGTTTCGGGTTTCTTTTGACGCAAGTGTAGCTTCTGAGTAGTTTGCCCAGGTTCGCACAATCGGGGATTGGTCTGCAATCCCTTGGATTGTTCAGGAAAATGCGCAGAAATCAATACGCAACGCGCAAAGCGACGCAAATACCCGGAAAGCAAGCGCACATACCGCAAAAGCAGTGCCACTACCCGCAACATCGGTGCGCACGTGGCGATTGCTGTTGTTGGCCCATGCAATTAAACACATGTACACATGTTTGAAGGACCTTGCACTTGTTCGAGCTTGGCCAAAAATATGCGGTTCGGACAATTTCTATCACATTTTGTGTAGACACAGATGGCGCAGAACCTTGGTTGTTGGTCATTGCTCCCTCTGCGCCAGCCTGGGCAGCTAAACGGGCAACCAACCAAGGCCACACATCCAACTAACCAACCCACAACAAACCACACATGTCAACTTCACCAGCCTCAGCCCCAAACCCACAAAACACAATAGCCGCTCCAAACATACCAAAAGCACAAACACACGTAACACTGAACACACCGAACCTAGCCCGAAGCCAGCCCCAGCCCTGCCCAAGCCGGCACAGCCCAGCAGCGCCATACTTTGCGCAAACAGTTTGATCCACGCCCTCGCCTTCGCGACAACCACAAGCCAACCAACACACCTGTCAAAAAGCCCACCAAACAACCACACCAATCGTTGGCGATTTGTTCCCGGTCGCCAGCTGCAAATGCCGCTGCTGCAGGCGCCCGATCTGCGCCCGCAAGTTCGCCGCCTCCTCGGCGGCGTTCTCCGTGGCCAGGCGGCGCCGCGACACCGAGGCCTGGCCCGGCGTCGCAGGCCGGGGAGAGTTCGGGGTCGACCAACCCGGGACCCGTCTTTTAAATCAACAGACGCACATTGGAGTCGCCATGGTTTGGACATCGGCATGCTTGGCTTGAAGAATCCTTGCCTGTGCTCAACCCTGGGATTTGGACCATCAGCTCGGCCGGCCTTTGGAGCAAACACCTTTCCTCAAAGCCGCCAAGGGAGAAACAAAAAGCATGCAAAAGGTTTGCATTTCCATGACTGAGCCCTTACCTTCATCTTTTGCCAGCCAACACATTCTTGATTTTTGCCGATAATCTGAACCTTCAGATCCTCGAAGAGATTCCAATTGAGGTTCCTTAAAGGATACATCCCGACACAACAAGCTTTCCAAGGGAATCTTCTACATCTGGTACAGGTGATATCTTGGCACGAATGTCTTCTTTAAGGGGGCCACCAAGCAAGCAAGCAATCAAGCAAACAACGGGCTAGGCAACAAAAACCCGCCTTCCCTAACCAACCCCCTTGACACAAACGGGCCTGGAGAGCCACGATCTGCTTCTCCAGCTCCTCCAGCTTCCCAGGCTCCGGGGAGACTGTGGCCAAGGTGGTCTGCTCCACAAGCCGCTCCTATGGCCCAGTGGGTGCGCAACATGGGCGGTCTTGAGAAAAAGTTCCCCATCTCCTTTTTGGCTTCATGTTTTATATTTGCTGCTTGCTTTTGCACGGCGAAGTAGCCCATCCCCTTTTGGTTTCCTGTTGGGCGGCTGAAAGACTACATGGGCCATGTAGCGCCCAGCTCGGCGTCATGGTTCTGCTTGGGTGGCCGTGTATTGGGTTGTGTCCAGCCCCATGTGTTCTGGATTTGGCTGGCTTTTCTTGGCTGTTTAGTTGGGTTGGCTTCAAGCCCTAATTTTGTTCTCACCTAACGGCGGTCTTACACGTTGACCGCTGATGCGGGCTTGGTGGTGTGTGGAGGGGACGTATAGGGAACCCAGGATGGTTTGGCACGGTTGGTGGGTTTGTAGCAATTTGATCGTTAAGTGCAGGGTTGGTAACATGGAGCTTAAAGATGAAGAGAAAGAGAAAGAACGAGAAGAGACTGAGAAAGAGAAACAAAAATAACGAGGAAGAGGAGAGGAAGAGACAGAGAAAGATAAAGACAACGAGAAAGAGAGACAAAGAAGAGAAAAAAGAAGAACACACATGAAATATATGGATAAAAGAAGAGAGGGAAAAGATGACTGACTCTAACTCGCATCTGGGCCGCCCACCAGCTTCACCGGCCCTGCTGGTACTAACAAAAAACGAAAACACGCCCTCGCACTCGTACAGAGAGAAGCACAGCGAGGAAACACGACAAACAAAGAGACGCACAGAGACATAGCAAGCCACGCGGTGACACGCAGGGAACACATAGGGACAAAGCCTTACTTCGAACGATCCCCACCTATCACATACCATGCTTTTTCCCACGCAGGGGCGACTATTCCAGGCATTCTCTAGACTTCGACGGTCTGGCCTCAGCCAATCCCGCCATTGTGACGATTTAGCTTCAAGCCTGGGAGCGATCACACTGCTGCGCTGGCTGGCGGGAGCTGTCACTGCTGTCCTGGCCCGGCCAGTGGCGGGAGCCTCAAGCTTCTGCGCGCCCTTTCCCGGCCACTGGCGGGAGCAGTTGCTGCGGCTGTCCCGGCCCGCTTCGTCGTCGCAGGCGGGGGCCTCAAGCTTTGGGCTGTCGAGCTTTGCACTCAATTCACGCGGGAGCCTCAGGCTTCAGGCTGGCCCGTTTTCTGGCAGGAGCTTCACACTTTGGGCTGTTGGAGCTTGAGGATTCGGCTCGCGGCACTGGGGTTTCAATGTGGCTCATGGCCCGGCCAGTCCTGGCCCGGTCTGCACGCTCTGCAACAGCTACTTGATCACATCTGTCTGCCATCTGTCTGTCACAGGCTCTGTCGGCGGGCGGGCGACGGGTGGGTCAGATGCCGCTTAAAATCTAACAACCCCAAACCTGCCGGGTGAAGAGAAACCGCAACTTGCAGAGACGCGCAAAGACACAAACATATTGACACACACATATACATACAGCAAACCTCACACCTTGAAACTGATACAAACACCAAAACCCACACACACACACACGCACACACGCACACACAAAAAACATATCACGGACACAGAGAAAACACAAAGACACATAAAGACACAGAAAGACACAGAGATACAGAGGAGAGGCGCAGAGAAGAGACACAGAGAGACGCAGCGAAGAGACACAGAGAAAACACAGAGGAGAGACGCAGAGGAGACAAGCAAAGAACACACGCAGAGGAGACACGCAAAGGAGACACGCGAAGGAGGTACACAGAGGAGACACACAGAGGAGACACACACAAAGGAGACGCACACACACACACACACAGAGACACACACACACACACAACACGGACGCACGCGCGCGAGCACAAGCACGAGGAACAGGCACAAGCACACACTTTCCAGTTCGAGCAATACAGCTGAATGTTGATAACACGGTCAAAATCAGTCAAGCCGGATTGCATGTCAGGTATGTGACTACCGGTGTTCCGAAGACATTTCAGCGCAGTCTGAAGAGCCTCCTTGTTACATGCCCACTTCTCCGATGTGGGCATCCCCCTGCCGAATCAAGATGAAAGTGACCCCCAACCTCCATGCACTAGGAGGGGTCACTCACGCAAACGCACACTCAGGCACGGAGTCAGTGACATACACGCGCACACACACACAAAGAAGCACACAATTGCCTTTCAATCGAAACCCTGCAATAGTGCTGATGGAATACACCTGCAGCCGTGACCCGCCACAGGTTCCCAAAGGGGTTGAAAATGTCATATTGGCGCACGCACACACACACACACACACACACACACACACCTTGGGCTGTCCTATTTTGCTCGGCAGAAGCTTTGGGCACCCGGCCTGGTCCAACTCCAGATCTTTGATTTGCTGCAGCCTCACCTCCTCCATTCGTTTCCTCGAAGCGGCCAAATGCTTCTAGATAATGCTGCCCACGAGGCCCAAACCCTAAACCCCAGTCGGTTCAAGTCGAGCTTCCAGCTTGGGGGTTTCACACGTATGGCTTGTCCAATGGAACCCCGAGAAATATATCACAAAAACCAGAACTGATCTGTGGCATGCCAGCATGGATGGCATGCTGGGCTTTAATGAAGGACTTGACGCCAACACAACGACGGGCAGCCAGGGCTCATTACCGCAAATTACCAATCCAAAGAAAACATTCCCAAGTAAAGAACCTGCAGCAAGCGATAGAGAAGGTCTGCCAAAACGCGCACTGTTCACCCAACAAAATAAGCTCCATAGACATGCAGAATCATTGGCTCCTGGGCCGCGCCCACCCTGTCAGCAAGAGGTAGTGGCTGGTTTGACAGGCCTGGTAAGTTGCCTGATTCATCCCGGGAACCCTGCACAAATTTGCGGCAGACCGTCCAATACCTGGAACTAGCTAAGCCCACATAGCAGCCGCACTTGTGATTTACTGTTTGTAACTGCCAACCCCTCAGGAAAAGCACCAACACAAACTTGCTGGCCGGGGGCCTTGCCAAACACTAATCCATCAACTGCACCAGGAAACCGGCCTAACTATGCCTGCCACGGCTCAATTCTGCCAGCTCCTCCTCTGCCCTCTTGCGCTGTTGCGACTGCCAGCTGCTCTCCTCGAAGCAATCAGCATGAGGTGCCCTACAGTTGGAGATTCAAACGCGCAGGCACCCCCCCGGTTTGAAGTTGGGCTCTACGCTCGGCGTGGGCATTACGGCAATTGGCCCAAGTCCCACTGTCTGAGCTCCGAAATGAATCAGGCATGCTACAAGAAGTCGAAATGACACTCAACTGTCGAAATGGTGGTTAAATAAAACAACCGAACAGGAAGCAATTTTGTCATGGTGAGCCAACCACGGACAAACACCGTGTACCAGTCTTTTATGGGTGGCTTGAACACATGTCGATCATGATGATTGGAGAAAAAAAAGCATTGCTTGAGACACAGGCTTCCCCTATACCTGCAGGCAAAAAGGACTGCCGCCTACCTGCATTCACTTTCATGCCTGTTGAAGGGTGCCCGCCAGGCAAAGCCAACTCTTACATTTGTTCATCTTAATTTATTAGTTATTTATAGTTTTCATATTTAGTCTAGCGATTTATCTGGAGAATTAACTAAAAATATGAAGTCTTATTAATATGTGCTCTTCTTTTTGGAAGTTTTCTAGTTTCTGAAGCTCTATTATTTGTATCCTTCTTTTGGACATCTTTTCATTTATTATCTTCTCCAACTTTAGGGATGTGGCCAGGAGAAGCTTTCTATCTTCCAGACCCTTGTGAATTAACTTTTGCTAATGAAAAAGACAGAGATAAAAGACTAGAAAGATAAATAACCATAAGATTTCTATAAAATGCCACCTGATCTTTCTTTACTGTTGATTGCCTACCTTTCAGGGCTTTATTTTCAGGCATTACCTAATTCTAATAAAAAACAAAATAAAAAATAAAAGACTAGCAACCACTGATGGAAAGAAAAACCTGCACCAGTCGGGATGGCTGAGAGACCCTGCAAAAACTGAGGTAAACCTAGCAACTTGTGCAGGGTTCTACACTTCCTCACTTGGCCCCTTGGCCAAGGGAGGCCCCACTCGGCCAAGGGAGGCCCCAGGTCCTCCTTGGGAGCTACCGCCCGCAGCGCCGCGGCCCGCTGGGACAGCTGCCGCAAGGTCGCCTGGCCATCGTCCAGGCGGTCCTGGAGACCAAGGAGCCGAAGCAAAGCCCGAAAGCGTCGCGATCGCGTTAGCGTCGCGTACCTCGCTGTGGGGCCCATCCTCGGCAAATCGAAAGACATGGAAAATGCTCATTCCGCCACTACGAGTGCGATATTGTTTTGTTCATGTGCTTGCATGAGTCTGATCTTGTGGCTCTCTTGTGCTTGCGCGTGGCAAAAAGGAAAGGACCACTTTGCTGACCTCTCACGCTTTGAGTTTCTTGTCACAAGTGAAGCCAGGTAGTGTAGCGGCCTTTGGGGCCCGACACCGATCGACATACTGGCTGACAACCGCTACGTTTATTGGGCACCAACAAGATCTCGAGGGCGAACGAAGTCCCTCAAGCACTCAGCGCGCTGCCGGAAGGCAGACTCTTTTGCATGGGCGCGGCCGCGTGACTCAAGTACCTAGGTGGCCCACCACATCTTGAGGTGAATGGCCACGTGTTCACATAAATGTTCCAAGAATGCGGCGCGTTCTTCACATCGGGGGGAAACAAACCAGGCTACTGATCACGCCCCGAGCACCATTCACACAGATACAGCTCTATCTGGCTGTTCCGCAAATACTGGCACTCCTGGCGTGTGTGAATTCTCACACCTCGCTTGGCCATGAAATATCTACGAGTCCTCATCTGGTAGAGGTCTTCCATCGCCCGGCTCGCTGCATCCTCCCAATGGTCCGTGTCCTCGCGGGCCAGCTTCGCCACCTCCTCGACATGCTTGATCTTGTCGCTGAGGTGCTTGACCTTCTCAGCCAGGTCCTGCTCGGTCTTCCGGCTCCAAAGGCGGCCCACCATGAATGCCAGTGCTGCCACCATGAAGATGATGACCAACATCATCACCTCAAACTCAAAACCGCCAGCCGAGTCCACCATAGCTGGTCTCTCTGCTTTTGCTCCTGTCGCACTGCCCGCCGCCATCGCCACCATGATTGCATCTGCAACCTTGGACCCCGACTTATACGACATGACATCTGCCATATCCTGTCGCGCAGCGAGCTTGGTCAGCCCATCGGCCATCTGCCTTTCACTGCTGACCCACCTCCACTCCGCCTTCAATGAATTGATGGCGTCCTTCACGCAGAGGATTTCCAGCGCAGCCCGCTTGTCCAGGCTCTGGGAGATGTTTTCGCGCTTCACCGCGTCATACAGGGCCTTCGCGTCGGTCACGATGGCACACTTGCCCCTGCCGTAGAGCTCTGCGCTGTCAGCGATGCCCTTGCTGGAGTCGAGCATCATGCCGAAAAAGACCTTCACGATCATGAGCTCGTCCAGGGCCATGGGACATGCTTGTGCCTCCGCAGCTAGACTCGAACGGCATACTCGTGGAAGCTTGAAGGACCTCCACGACACCAAGGTGTAGGGTACCGCCTTGCCGATCAGCACCTCCTCATTGCACGCCACGATCATGAAGCCGCCCTGGCTAGACAGGTCACTCCTGACGCTCAGAGCAGCGTCACTGAAGCACACGAAGCAGACCTTCTCCAGGCTAGGGGCGATCTTCGCGATGCGCAAAGCCACCTGGCCGTTGGCCTTTGCAAACCTGAGCATCTTGTTGAGCTCCTGGAGGTACTTGCCATCTCCCTTGTTCAAGCCTCCCGCCAAAATGGACACTGAGGCATTGAGAAAAGGGGCTCCCTGGCCGGCAGGCCATTGCAGGGCTCCGATCAGCCCACGAGCCTTGTTGATCTCGCTCGCATTGAGGGGCTCGTCCATGTTCCTGTTCTTGACGATGTTGATGGGCAGAACCTTCTTGAAGAACTCCTCGTAGTCTAGCGTCAGCTCCTCCTGCGCGGTCACCTTGATTCGTCCACCACAGAAAACCATGGGGTTCTTCGCGTCGAGGATGGCCCACTTGCCGAAGTCGAAGCTCTTCTTGATGCGCTCCAAGGCGTCCGAAAAGTCTCGATCTTTGTGGTCGCCCCCAATCATCATGTCATCGACGTGGAGGGTGACCAAGCCCTTCAGCACGCCCTCCTTGTTATAGTACATGTAAGCGCACTTGTCCAGGGGGTGACGCCGAAGGGGAATTGCCCGGAGCCGCCGATCAGCTTCTGTCCACCAGAGTAGGGGTGCGTCGGCCAGACCGTAGGCCGACTTGTTGAGGCGCATGTGAATCCGGCCGCTGCGTCCAAGGAGTGCTGCGCAGTCTGGCGGCAACACCACTATGATGTCCCTGTCAAACTTCTCGCCGCTCAAAAATGCTGCACGCACATCTCCACACAGCAGCTGCCAGTTCTGGTTCACGCACACCATGAGCTGGATCATCTTGGCGTTCCTACTTCCTGTCGGAGCCGCCTTGTCAAGGTGAGCAAGGTCTGGGTCTTGAAAACCTCGCAGCACGAGACGCGCTTTTGCCTTGTACCGGGGGTTGCTGTCATCTCCCTCGTCGATCCGTTTCCAGGTCAGCACCCACCGGGCAGTAATGACTCTGCCGGTTCCATGCGCGCCAGGCTCCGCAAAGGTCCACACAGCGTTCTTGAAGTAGCTGTCTAACTCCACGACCTTGGCATCGATAAACTGCTGTCGCTGCTCCACCGTGAGGGTGCGCTCTGATACCTCGCTTCGACGCTTTGTCTCCGCGCGCGTCAACCACACTTCATCCAACTCCAGACATCCTTCCACCACCGTCCAGCCTGTTGGCAAATCACCACTGACGAACCGCACATCATCAAAGCTCAGCTCGTCTGGCAGGATCTCATCAGCCATGAGCTCCCCAGGAACTTCATCTGGAACTGGTACTGCTGCCACCTGGTTCGTGCTTGTAGTAGGTGAGGTGTTGGGTGCAGCATCCGTTGGCTCGCTGATGGTGACGGTGCTCTTGTCTGTGGTTGGCGTCTTGCTGCCCAGCATCTCCGGTTGACCTTGCCCGGCTGCCCGAAGAAGGCTGCCCAATCGAGGTGTCCTCATTGATCTCGCTCATCAGCCTCCCAATTTCCGAGCTCATCGGGGGTGCAACCATCTGCTCATCCTCGCCGATGATGCTGGGCTCGTAGTCGTCCATCTGGTCCTCAATGTCAGCGCGGATCTCGTTGTCGGGCTCCTGGGCGATGTCCCTGAACTGCGTGGTGCTTCTCGCTTTCAGCGCCTGTAGATCCTGAAGTGCAGCTTGTGGATCGGCCTGAGGAGGATGACCACTCTCCTCCACCATCGGCCTCACCTGCTTTGGCGAGCACCGCAGCAGGGACGTGCCATGAGCCACCCAGATCACGCTTGGGTTGCCAGTACTGTCCTGCTCGATCGCCACAACGCGGGCGGGTCCTCTCCAGTTCGCCTTCAGCAAGTGGCTGGCTCTTGACACTCGCCAGTACCACACCAGCTGTCCGATCGTCACCTCCTCCTGATTCTCCTTGAAGTTCTGGTTCATCGCACGTCGAAGTCGTGCGTCCGTGTCAGCTTTGAGGAAGGCGATCTGGGCGTTGAGGCGTCTCTTCTGCACCTGAGCAAAAGTGCCTTGGTCATCAAGCGGCTGGATGCCGGGGTTGAAGATCTCGCCGCTCAGAGAGATCTGGGTCTGAGTGGATCTCCCCATCACCCACTGAGTAGGCGTGTAGCCCTTGTGGATGCTCAAGCTGTTGATCTGCTGGGGCACGTAGATTGCGGCCTTCACGAGGTTCGTCTCATTGCGGCCGCCCAAGAGCTCCAGCGCCCGGCGCACAACTTGATGCTTCCGCTCGACTGCCCCCAGCCAATTGTGGGACTCCGCAGGGGCAACCTCAAGGATGATCCCCCTGTCTGAACACCATTCTCTCACGGCAAGTGATGCCCAGCCCTTGGCTTCGTCCACTCGGACAAATCTGGGGCAGCCCCAATGCTTCACCCACGAGCGCTCCATGCCCTTGATGAAGTCGACCGACTGCTCGGTCTTGAGCAGCCTGATGGCCACGTAGCGGGTTGCTTGATCCATCACGGTCACCACGCATCTCCGGCCATTATCTGTGTCGACCCAAGCTGAGTCGATGAGGAGCCTCGTGTTGAACTCCTTGGCGGTCAGGCCGGCTGCTGGTGCTGTGCCGCTTGGCGCCTTTCTCGCATAGCACTTCGGGCATAGGTAGCCCTGAGCAGCTTTCATCACGTCGCCCGTCGCCTGCACCTCTTCCAACATCTTGGCCAAGACCTCTGCCGAAGGATGTCCGAGGTTCTTGTGCAGCCTGGCAACGTAGTTGAAAGCTCTTTGCCCGACCTTGATGCGCAGCTCCTTATTCTGCTTGATCTCATCTGCTTCCGGCACCTGCTCTTCCACTTCCTTCGCCACCGCGCCACCTTGCTCCACCTTCTTTGCCTCATCGTCTTCCACCGCGTTGATGAGCTCAGTATCTGTCGGAGCCGCAGCAAGCAGCTGCGCAAGGCGCTTCGCAAGGCGCGGCGGGTAGGACTCCACCACCTCACTCCTCAGGCCCAGGCCAGGCACGTAGCCCTCGATGGGAACATGTTGATGCTGGCCAGCGCATGTTCGCTGCAGGCCAAGATGGAGTGAGACCTTGGTGGTGAGGAAGCATGTGGCCTTCCTGACGGGCCCCCAGGTGCCGTTATTGTTCGGCAGCATCAGGCCGTACTGGCACTGGTCCACGTAGGTCCAGTATCCTTCCAGGGAAGCGAAGGCAATTGTCCTCCATGCCTTGCTCTTCCATGGGTGCTCGATGGTTGCCCCTCTGCTGCCGCGTCTCTGACACTCGTAGGTCACGGCACACATCATGAGGATCGTGTCGTGGTTCTCCTCGCGTGCAGCCTCCAACTGTTCTCGGCGCTCTGGATGAGCCGCCAGGGAAAGCTCCTGGAGCGTTGACCAGAGCTTGCACATGGGGGCCATCAGCACTTCATCGGGTTTCTCCTTGGTGAGGCGCCTCAGGAACTTCTTCCGGTGCTCCGGTATCATGAAGTCCCACTTTGGCAGGGAAAAGGTCTCCACCTCAACGTCATCCATCTTCTCGAGGTAGGATGATGTCCTGGCCTTCCCGGCGAAAACCTCCCATACCACGCGGCGCTCTCTCCCCTTGACGGGGATCCGATTTGCTTCCGCCAAGAGAATCTCCTGATCTTTGATGGCCTTGGTGGTGCCATAGATCAACTTCCGGAGATCTTTTCCTCTCAGCCTTTTCACACAATCTCCATCTGCTGGATTCCCATCGCCTCCTGGGCTTGCTGTTGGAGAGCTCGAGGGGCTGTCCTCCTGCAGATCGTCCTTCTTCTCCTCCTCACACGCCGGGCTGCAGCCCCCTTCTGAGCTGCCCTTTTTTGCATCCTCCGGCGTGGCTGGAGCAGTCTCGACCCCCTTGTCAAAGACCTCTGCCTGCAATTCTTTCAGAGTCATGCTGAAATCTTCGGCCACGAGGCAGCCCTCCTCAAAGCACTCTTCCATCTCACCCAAGATGACGCTGGGCGGCAACTTCTCCGAAAAATCCACGTGGTCCATGAAGTCCTCCGGGATCAGGGTCTCGAAAGCAATCTCCTCGTGGATCAACCGGTGCATGGAATTGTTCTCCACCAGGTTTACGAGGTACTCTCCCTTCGGACCCAACGGGACGTCATGCCACTCGCCATTAGGCCACTTCATCTTCTTCTCGCTGTAGTCCAGCTGGAGGCCATGATGGGCCTGCCGAAGAGGATCGGCGCCGTGCCCTTGTTCACGTAGGTGAGCACCTTGATCTTCCTGCCCCCCACGTGGATCGGCAGCAGCACGCACAAGTTGGTGACCTCCTTCTCGGAGTTGCCGTATCTGAAACCTTTCTGGCATCTGAAGATGTCGATCTCGCGGACGTCATAGCCGTTTTCCAGGAGGTAACGCATGTACTTCCGGATGTAGTGGCGGCTTCCCAGAACTGAAGCGGCTCCACCGTCCTGCACAGCGGTGTTGACGGTGTCGTCTTTCTCATCTTCTGCGGCCAGATCGTAGTGTTCCTCCACCATCATCACGGCCGCGTCAGAGTTCTCATCAACCTTCCGCTTCTTTTCCGAGTTGCTGGGGCAGTTGCGGGCAAAGTGCCCAGCTTGCCCACATCGCAGGCACAGATTTCGGCCAAGAGCGGCTCCTGCCCTGCTTTTTGCACTGCCCTTCTGCGGCGGCATCTTGTTCTTGCCGCCCTTCTTGCTACCGCCCTTCGGAGATTTTCCCCGTCCTTTTCCTGACTTCCCAGAAAAGGGGCCTCCGGAACCCGGGACCATGGCGACTACCGGGTAGAAGCCTCGGGAAGTCCGCATCATGTTCATGGCCTCGACGTAGGTCGCGTAGACATCGTCGTACTCCTCCACGTCGAAGACCTCGTCATAGCCTTCATCCTGGGCCATGTAGACACCGTCCGATTGGCCTCCGGTCTCGCTGGCAATGTCATAGTACGAACCATCATCTTCATCTTCTTGCCAGTGCACTCCGGTGTAGTCGGTGTCCGGCTCATAGGGCTCTTGCCATGTGCCCTCCTCTGAGTAGAACATGTCGTAGGTCGGCTTCTGCTTGTGGGCATGGCCACCGCGGGAGGCGTCCACCTTGGAGTCCTGACCCATGATGAAATTCATGGCGCGCTCAACGGCAGCCAGGTTAAGACGCTCAGTGCCGATCTGCGTCATGACCATCTGGCGCTGCTCCCGGCTGACGCCACTCCTCCGCAAAAACCACCAGGCTTTGACCTTCTCCGGCAGCTCCGCCTGATGCGACGCCCGAAGCCTGCGCTCCACCCGACCGAACTCGGTCTGATACTCCTGAAGCGTCTGGCCGGCTTTCCGCTGCAGCTTCACGAAGAAAGCCTCGAAGTCGTCTAGCAATTCCGTCATCAGGTCCGGCTTGAAGGCAGCATCCAAGCGACCAAAAACCTTGTCTAATGCGTCCTCCTTCTGAAGGTCGGCCATCTCCATATCGTCCACCAAATCCCAAGCTCTGCCGGTCATCAGCGTCACCAGGTTGAAGACCACTTCCGGTTGACGCCCGGCAAGCTCCATCTTCTTCTTGTAGAGCTCGGCCCTCTTGCGGTACTCACGGTAATCCTTCTGCAGATTGCTGAAGACCGGAACGTGTGAGTCCGCTTTGCCGGTGTAGGCATTCTCTGAGGGCTGCTCACTGCCCTTTCCCTCGGCCTTGGGCATGATCGTGCCGCCGAGCTCCTCAAGGGCGAAACCAAACTCCCTGTGCCGGTCTCCGCCGGCTCCGTTACCACAACAAGATCTCGAGGGCGAACGAAGTCCCTCAAGCACTCAGCGCGCTGCCGGAAGGCAGACTCTTTTGCATGGGCGCGGCCGCGTGACTCAAGTACCTAGGTGGCCCACCACATCTTGAGGTGAATGGCCACGTGTTCACATAAATGTTCCAAGAATGCGGCGCGTTCTTCACAGGCACAATTTGTATGCAGCTACTGCATGCACGTCAATTGATTCTGACGAACACGTGTTCGCGCTGTACAAGATGGCAACGGGAACCCCAGATTTGTAAACCCATCCAAAACCACTGATACAGGGATGTCACCCTTTTTCAACCGAAGGTTTATGAACCTGCGGAGAAACATTAACTGTGATTCTGAAACGGGCAAAGAGCCATTGGTTGGGACCTCCCGCAAGTCCCCATAGCCGCAGCCAGTATCTGACTTTAGAATCTGAGTTTAGCAACGGACAAGGAAAAACAAGACACCGTGCGGCCCGGCCATCTTTTAGTCGCACAGTAACTCGTCCTGTAGAAAAGGAATCGGAACATTTTGCTTCGGGGGGGTGGCTGTTGACCTGCCTGCTGTAGGAGCAACTGGCAAAGGCACAGCGGACCGGCAAGGCGGACATAACCTTGCCACCAACAAGCATTGAAGTGCGCAAGTTTACGCTGGAAGGACAGGGTCTGCATACTTCCGCAATGCGCAAAGCAAGTGGGGGTGCTGGGTGATTGGACTTGCTTTTGGACAATTTGTGGGAGGGTCACGCTCTTCCCCAAGAAGCATAGAAGTGGACAGTTCGCCTACTGGAAAGCAAAGTTCCTCCCGTCGATGTCCATGATTGTTGGATGAAGTAAGGGATCCCCACGTAAAGCACCATCATCATGGAGAGCTGGCTTTGCGCCAGTAGGAAGATGCGTGTTACTGTTTCAACCCCCCCGCCCTGCGAAGTGGATGCGTCCTTCAAGGCATCCCGGGCCCTTCGCAGCTCTTGCACCTCGCTCTCCCCACAGACCTGCGGAAGAATCGATCCAATCCATCGGCTCTCAAGGGCAAGGCCATCCCAAAGATGACCCATTTTTCATCGAACAGGCCAAAACAGAGGATCGCTTTCCCGTTTTAGGAAAGGCAGGAGGGGAGACTGCTTTTCCCTCCTGAAAGCTAGAATGTCTTTGATAAGGTGTCCTCTGAATCTTGTGAGGAGTCCATAGCAGCCCGGCCACAAACATCAAACTGCTTCTCCGAATAAATGCACCAATCTGGGATTCTTTGCGGGGCTGCTTGCGCGCTCAACTGGGCAGCGGGCAGAATTCCAACAGAAGGAGCAAACAATTCTTCGGCAATGCGCCCGCGGTCCGGTCAGACTGTCCGTCTGTCTTGGAGGAAGCGTGGCGCTTGCAGCGATGAAGTCAGCTTGGCAATGTATGATACGAGTTGGAGAGAGTATGAGATACTGAATGCAAAAACCGAGCAATGCTTTCCTCCACAGATTGCTCCAGGAAGTCAGATGGCCCCCCCAAACTGGCCCTAGTTGATCCTAGCTGAGAGTGGCAGTCAACCCAACAAGGAATAAGTGCGTGCTTCTTTCATAGCATGTCGTCAGTTTGGCTTGCGCAACAAAAACTCTTCCGAAAGCTTTGACACAGCCTCATGCCTGGCGAAAACAGACAAACATGCCAACCACTCGCAAGCACGCACAAATATGACACGGCTGGATCGGCTTGCTGACCTTCGCCTGGAGGTTTGTGCAACACCTGCCAAGAACCTCCCAGCATGTCACCACACTTGGCCCAGTCCCTTCTTCCGTGGGCATGGCCGATGGCCGAAGGCTTCTTTTTCTTGGAATTGCAGCCCATGCAATCAGGATGGTGCAAGCCGGAAACAGGGAAAGCCAATCCACGCCACTCAGCCTATAAGCACTCTTCATTTGCGAGCTGGACCTACTTGGTGCGAGCTCGTGAGGTAATGACAGTACATAAGCACCAGTGACACCGCAAGAAACGGTGCCTCCTGATATGGGCGCATTGGCTTGGTAATCAAACAACTTGCCGATGGAACTTGGAAAGCACAGGCTGCCAGCGTTAACGACAACCATTGGACAACCATCAGTTTCCCAACAGTCCTCAACGCCTTCGGGTGGCCAGCTCAGTGACCCGGGAAGAAGAAAAACAAGATGAACATGTTTACTGGAAAACTCACCAAACAACAAGGACTCTACGGTTGCCACTGAACAACTCGGAACCTGACACCTGCCCAACCGAACGGCGGGTCGTCTCTCCGCACCTGGTCATCTTGATACCCCCGCCGCAGCTCCTCAAGCTTCTCGCATAAGCTGGCAACTTCCTTGGTGAGCTCTTCGTGTCCTCAGCGAATCGGGGCTTCGCCGCCCCTTTCTCAGCCACAGCTAAGTCGCGACAAGCCTCGAGATTCATACCCAGGCGTCAGATGACGTTGATTGCGGTTGAGAAAGTCTACCTAAAGCCCAAGACCTGCAATTGCCATGCGTTGTCCGCCTGCGTACCTTGCACAAGACTTAGGTGGTGGTTTCCTAACAAGTATGTCCCTACCATTTACCACTAAGGTGCAACTGGAGGCCAAAAGTAGGGCACAAACAGGCTAGAATAACCCAGGGACGTCTTCACACCAAGCCTGGATTGGTTCCCTTTCAAGTCATGGCATCCCAGTGGTCAAAATTCAAGGTTGTCCTTCAGCGGAAGGCGTCCTTGGTCACCTCTGGTCCAAACATTTTGTCTGCCCCCGACGGCCCAATGCAACCTGTTCGACCCTCTCATTTCACCGGTTACCCTGTCACAGCCCGAGCTTAATCTAAGAAGGCTGTTGGCAATATCTCGCTGTCCGGAACATCATGCTGGTGCCTGCACATCCTAAATGAGAGAAAATATATGTGACGGCTGACCTCGCAAGGGCCAGTGTTCCCCCCCGGGCCCCCATCATAACCAAAAGGGAACTCGTGCAAACCGGCAAAGTGGAAGCACAGAAAAGGAAACCAAAAACGAAGCCAGAAAAGGAACCAGAAAGGAAACTGGCAGGGACATTTCAAGAGCGACAACAACCAAGTTCCACCATCGGCCAACCCCAAAACCCGGTGCGAGGCACGCTCCCAGGACTTGAAGTTGCTGCTTTGGGACAGCTGCGCAAACTCCTGGCCTCGGATCATAGGATACCGGCAAAAACAGCCTCTGGCGGATTTTTACCAGGTCTTCACCAGATGCAGCCAGAGATCCAGTCACAAGGTTTTCCAGTTGCAACTCGTGACCCGAAAGGATGAGAAAGGGAGCCAATTCTGTTCAAGAGGGTTGACCATGTTTAAGGACTCTGCAAACCCAAGGGTGCCCCTCTAATAGGATCTTGCGGACCACTAAGAGCGAGCCATTCGTGGTTCCTCCCCTACCCAGCAAATTCTACGAAACCGTGGGTATTTCCATTGGAACATCAATCGATTGGCCAGGGCTTGATATTCAGGGGTCGTCCACGTGTTCATGCATTTGACTTTTAGCCCCCCGGCCCGGAAAAAGGAGAGAACCACAATTCAAAGCTTTTTTAGGACTTGCGTCACAGCTCCTGCAGACTAGATAGATAGTTTGTAATAATTTGTGCTTGTTTTAACACTAATTGTCACACAAGTGGTTCCAACAAATAGGGGACTCATGAGACCGGGTGGTGTATTTCTGGCGTCCCTTGAAAACCAGCCACAAGGGGGTCCCAAATTGTTGCAAACAGCCATGTGCTTACACACTGCATTTTGCATGGGCAGACCCTCGCTCAAGGAGGTTCTTGTGCAGCCGCAAAGCCACTCGCAAATCCCACCGAAGACCAGCATCAAACAAATATCCCGCTGCAAAGAAAACAGCAAGGTAATCGTGTCCCTGCGAAGCCCACCGGCTAACTTCAACTGACTTTGAGAAACCGGGCTTTGACTTCACCTCAACCAACCCGCACGTGCTGGACCCCTCTGTCGTGGACCGAGGAACATCAGTGTTCAGTCAGCTTCTGCGAAAGCCCACAAACAATGCCCACATGATGTTCAAACCGGCCCCCGCCCGTGGAAAAGCACAGTTGAATCGGCCCCAGTGGCGCAAGTGTTCCATCTCTAGCTGCTGCTGCTGCTTCGCCACTTGCTGCAGCGCAAAAGCGTCACCGGGCAACGCCTGTCCAGCCACTTGGCTGGAACAAGTGACCTGGCCCACAACGGGCATGTCTCCAAAATAAAAGAGAGGCTCCCAATAAAACAACACGTTGTTTCTTTTTTCTTCGCTGGTATTCGAAAACAATCCAAAATGGCTACCCTCCAGAAGTATCCAAACCGTTCAAAGCGTGGAGGCCTGCGGCAGTGCGATGCTGAAGTGGAACAGATTCGGCGGAATGAAATTCAAGCGGCCAAACGAATCTTGACTTGCTGTGAAAGACGCTAGGGCGACGTCTCCAACTTGCATCTTGCTTGCCTCTGAAAGCGTTAGGCAATGAGCTCCTAGCTGTTGAAACTTGCATCACACAACCAACAAAAACAACACATCAGCACGTGAATGCGCCGCATGGGCCAATGGGTACGCGCCCTGAGTTCTCTTCAGTATGTATCCTTTACGTACCGAGCCCGCACTGATCATAAACGGCCTTTGATCCGGCAGATGCTCACGGGGCCGGGCTCAAAATGATAGAATTGGCACCTCATGCGCCAGCCGTGGAGGGGAGGTACTGCTTGTCAAATAAGGGCATCTTCAGCTCTTGGCCATGGATGGGAACAAAAGTAAACATGTGAGCCTGCCCCTTGCCTTGGAAAAGCTGGCTTCATTGAGCTCTTGTTGTAATGGGCCTAGGCAAACTACGCACCATCGTGGTTTCCGTCAGAATTCAACAACCATCAGCAATTTAGCACCCAAAAGGCAAAGCCAATTGCCCCATGAACTCAGGAAACAAAGTCTTGCCCTTGAGCTAACACCATCCACGGGATCCCCAACTGGCTTTAGGCAAACGAGAAAACACAACAAAGGTGGGAAAGGCTCCCCGGCTAAGCCCAGGAACGAACTGCAAAAGAGCCTCCGTGCTGGGGCTTGCAGCACTGGCAGAACGTGGAACTGCCTGCACGGTATTGCTCTCCTGGCAGTGACGCCGGGAGATCTTTTAACATGAATCCCAAGGATGTGCATGTCGCTTCCCAAAATAAAGATGTACATCTCACGTAGAGCAATAAACATCCTTCTGAAAAGCTGACAAATGGGATTCGGGAAATGCCAATGCGCATCATGTCATTGAAAAAAAATACATAAGATGCTGAGAGGCGAACTTGCCTTGACATTTCATCTGAGAAAGAGCTTTGGCCTAATGCCCTTGTGTGGTTGCATCATGTTTCCGAGGGGATTCCGACACTGATGCTGCTGATGTGCTCAGATTCTGCTGAAGAGGAAACCCGCCACCAAACTGGTCGCATTCCAAAATGGAGTGCTAGTGGAATGTATGGACACAGTATTGCCAGGGACAAGCTTTGTAAACCCAAACTCTGCTTGCGCTAAGGTCAAAAACTAGCAGCTTGGTTTGCATTCCGTCGCATAGCAAGTGTCAGAGGTCGAGGTGGGTTTTGGGCCTCGCATTTGTTGTGTTTTGCTTTTTCTCCTGCTGAGTAAGGTGAAGGCAACGTTTGCCAGTAATGCGCTTTCTTATCAGAAGTGTTCAACTACTAAAATCTTATTCATGCAACCGTGGTATGGCTTGGTCATAATTTTGGCAGCCCGGCAAGCCAGACTCAAATCATTCAGAACTGCATGCTTGCCAATGCCTTAGGCCTTCTGCAATAGTACATTCCCAAGCAATGAAAGGGATTCAGAACGGTTGCAGAACATTGGAAAAGGAGCAACAAAATACAGGGCAGGACTTAGGTGTACCGCCGTTGTCTTTGCATGACTGTATCTCTGCAGAAGGGTTTGCGATGGGAGGGGGTCTCTGCTTGATGGTCACCAACTAGAGGCAACAAATGCACTATTGTTGGGGACCTCTGTCAGAAGTAGAACTTGCTTGAGCCATAGGACCACCCACAATTTGTCTCGGGGGGGGGGGATCATGCAAATAGCTACGGGGCATGCTGGCACCGCATCATCCCCACAGGAAGGCCACAGTTTGGTTAACGCAGCTCAACATCTTGACAAAAACACAAAAACAAGCAAGGCAAGGCAAGGCAAGGCAAGGCAAGGCAGCAAGCAAGCAAGCAAGCAAGCAAGGCCGTCAATCAAGCAAGCCAAGCGGGGCAGTCAATCGAGCAAGAAAGTCAAGGCAGCACGGCAGCAAGCAAGCAAACAAGCAAGGCAAGGCAGGGCAAGGCAAGGGAAGGCAAGGCAGGCAAGGCAGGGAAGCAAGCAAGCAAGCAAGCAAGCAAGCAAGCAAGCAAACAAGCAAGCAAGCAAGCAAGCAAGCAAACTAAGAAACAAACAAACAGACAAACAAACAAACAAACAAACAAACAACAACACACAGCAAGAGGGGGCGACAATTCCATGCATGACTTGTATATCGTACTAAAAGATGTATTAAAAAAAGAGTGTGTGTGTATATATATATATATGGGTTTGTACTTTTTACGGTGGCCGGGAAGGAAGGTTTGAGTGTGGGGTATGATTTGTGGGTATGATTCGGGCTATGATTCGGGGGTATGATTCGCTGTAGAAGCAGTAGTAGCAGCGGTAGCAGTGGCAGTGGCAGTAGCAGTGGTAATAGTAGTCGGGAGCAGTAGTAGCAGCAATGATACCAGTAGTAGTAGTAGTAGTAGTTGTTGTTGTAGTAGTAGTAGGAGAAGAAGTAGAAGTGGAAGTAGAAGTAGAAGATGAAGTAGTAGTCCCGTCAGCAGTAGTTGTAGTAGGAGGCGCTGCTGTAGCAGTAGGAGCAGTAGTAGTAGTAGTAGTAGTAGTAGTGGTGGTGGTGGTAGTAGTAGTAGTAGCAATAGTAGTAGTAGTACGAGTAGTAGTCGTAGTAGCAGTAGCAGCAGAAGCAACAGCGTGCGGAAGCCGTGTAAGAGTCTTGGCACTAGCCTTTGCAGGGGAAGCTCATTGTCCGGGCATGATTCGGGTATGATTCGGGTAAGTCGGGCATGATTCGAGTATGATTCGCAGGTATGATTCGGCTAATTGCAAAGCGGAACTGGTTACAAAACCAGAAAGATGAACGCAGAATGATGAATGTAGTGGTGGTAGTAGTAGTGGTTGTTGTTGTTGTAGTAGTAGTAGTTGTAGTACTAGTAGTACTAGTAGTACTAGCAGTAGCAGTAGCAGTAGCAGTATTATTATTAGTAGTAGTAGCGCTAGGAGGAGTAGGCGTAGTAGTAGTGGTAGCAGTCTTAGTAGGAGGTAGCGCTGTTGGTGGTTGTTGTGGAGACAGTCAACAACACAAACTGTTAAGGAAAGTGGCATCTTGCAGCATACGTTTTAAAGGGGTATGATTCGGGGGTATGATTCGGGGGTATGATTCGCCAAGGTCCCACCTTCTGCCTTTTGAAGCATCTCAATACAACAACAAAAAGACAAATCCATATACACGCACATATCCGCGCGCAAGAAACAACCTCCAGTTGTCTATGTTGGTCTTCCATGGTCTTCCTTCCCCAGGCGGGGGCGTGTCCAAAGCGGGGGGGTGGTCGCTTTCCCCGCCTTCAGCTTCCGCTGCAACTCCTCCCGGCGGCCCAGAGCCACGGCCAGCAGGGCGGATGCCTCCGCCTCCGTCATCCCTTGCCTCGGGTCGCGGAGCCTTCGGCGGGACTTGGGACCCCCTGTCAGGCCCCATGTGAATTGGTGGGAGGCGATCTTCCAACCACTTTTGCAGGGGTTTCGTATTGAAATCATGACATGTCCCACCCGCGACCCCCTCCAATGGATGGATGGTTGGCTTCATGGTTGGCTTGATATGCCCCTCTAAGTACCTTCCCTAATAGTTGCCTTGATGTTTATACATCCCTGAACACAACTCAATTTGTGACATGTGCTTCGAAGGACGTTTTGGGACAAACTCCAGTTGCCCTTTTTGCTTTCTCCAACAATTAAGGGTGTTGCAAGTGTTCAAGAAAGAGGCGAAAACAATGGGAGGCGGGGATCTCCAAAGCTCCATATTTAGCTGCGTGTCTCATAAGTTGAGGAGTCAGCCTCGGAATATCCTAGCAGCCCTGCAACCTTCTCGGCCCTCCAACCTGCCACACAACACAAAATCCAAAGCTAACATTGGCTAAGACCCCACAACGAGGGAAAACTCTGCCTTCCATTGCTTCCTCACCACGCGGCTGTTCGTCCTGGATCTGTGCCTGGAGTGCGGCAATCCTCTCCTCCGCATCTCGGCGAAGCTCCTGTTGCCTGTGAGGGCGCCGAATGGCGCCTATGCGAAACGCAGGCGTGCCAAGTGGATGCCTTCCATGGGACAAAACCTCGCCTTTCTCAGGGCTTAGCAGTACGGTACATGTTGGAACTCCCTTGGCCTGGGAAAGGCTGGAAGAGCCAAAGGGTCACCCATCACATGGAAAACCGTCGGGTCGCCTGGCTTGGGCAAGCTCCAGCTGGCGCCGCAAACTCTGCGCCTCTGGCACCACCAGGCGCTGCGTTCGCGCGAGCCTCCGGTGGCTGGGGAGTAGACCAAGCCAGCGGTTGCCATAGAAACCAGGGGGAAAGCAAGGGAAGTGAAGGAGATGAGGTAAGAGTAAAAAATGGGGTGACCCGAGTTACCGAAGTACAAAGAAGCGACCCAAGGAGTAATCAAAGGAAAACCTAGGGAGCTAGTGCCCAAGGGCAATTTTATGAAATTGACCAAGGGGAGACTGAGGCAAAGACCAAGGGCCAACTAAGCGTCAACGGGGCAAACTCCTTTGGAGCCTACAGAGGCCTTCAGGATATCCAATTCTTCCATCGGGGCTCGCCATGGCCCTTCCGTCCCGGGCCTTCGGCACATGGCCTGCTTCCGCTGCAGCAACTCGGCGTTCTCGGCATACGCACGCCTCAGACCCAGGAGCTTTGGGCGCAGCAGCGCCGTCAAAATATGTTGCGTGCAACCTGAAAACCTGGTCCTGAAACGAAAGCACGCACTGTCGCTTTTGTATCTGAGATCCTGTCGATAAAAAAAGAAACGCCCACTAACGAAAACTGGCAGCCGAAAGGCACGGTCCCAGCCCCATAACTTGATGTCGATCCCGGATTAATAAAGCTTGCGGATCCACATAAGCAAAGCCTTCCCCCAAAAGTCAAGGATTCCCCTCCTAATGAGACGGCCCCCTGCTCTACTTGTCAATCAGGGCTTGGCCCTATCAATCCCAAGCTGCTCCAGGATCTGCTGACATCGCAGCGGCCGCGCCTGACCTGCGCGTTTGTACAGAGAGCGGTTCCGGGCAAGGGCGGGCATGGACCACGCATGTTGCATCTAGTTTTGCACGCCCGATTGGGCTCCAAAGGTCGTCTGACCCATGCTGCTACAAGTTTTGCGTGTAGCTGCAAAAAATGTTGTAAACATGCCGCTTTACGTGTGCCTACTGTTTGTCTAGATGCTGCTTCTTGTGAGGGGCTGACACGCTCTCATGCAGAATTTGAGCAGCTCCAGTCAGAAGAGCAAGAACAGCAGCACTACCAACCCGAGTAACGGCTGCAAGTGGCAAGTTCTGCTTGAACATGGGGCCTCCAAATTGGCAATGGGTTCCTCGCCCTTGCGTGCGCATAGAAGCTTATCTTTCAGGGGCTCTGACAAACAGGTGGCTTTTGTTCAGCAATTGAACAGCACTGAGTTTGCTCGGGGAACCCAGTTCCCAAGACCTGTGGGAGCTTGTTTGCAACCCGGACCCCCGCTCCCATGATCCCCGCCCAGCCCCCCAAAACTAGTTGAGGACAGGTGCGTTGTTCGACTAGCCGCGGGTGCATCGCTCAGTCAGAACCATTCCCAGCTCGAATTTTCTGTAATGAGCATGTGCGTTGGGGCCAAGAGATAAACCAGCATGGTTTGGGACAAGCAGAGTCACCGAAAGAAGGACCGGAACAATTTCATCGCGCCTGTCTTGAGGAGCTTTTGGAGCTCAGCATTCTGAAGCTCCAGCTGGATTGCTTGGCGCCGCGCCGTGGGCATCTGAAAGTGGAAGCTGCCTGTCGGGGGTCGGCCCATGTGAGAAGCTTGCGCGGGTGAGCGGCGAGCTCCATTCCTCCCGAACTGCAGTCAAGACTCCAGGGCTGTTTCGCTTCCAGAAGCAGCCCAAACAAAACAAAAGCCCCTTCCGACACATAACAGTGCAGAGGAGGACTATGGCAATACGCGCTTACCAATGAAACTTCCTCTGATGCACTCGTTGTGCTGTTGTTTGGGATGTTCCCAATTCAGAGACAAGAGTACGTGCCCTCAGGGCGAAATACATAGTTTCGTTACAGATTGTAGATCTGCGCTGCCAAGAGTGCTCGCCGGCTCAGACGCAAGCACGTACACTCGAACTGGCTTGTTTAACCTCCCACGGACACCGGGCCCAAAGGGGCATGCCATGCAGAAACAAACACGGGAATGAGCCGATAAGCCACAAGCTCCATGGTCATTGAGTGATATTTAGTGGTACTTCTAGCTTCTTCATGCAGCCTTCAAGGCCTGCAACACACACAGAGTATGCCCTGACCTGGCCTGCATCAAACAAACACGTGGCCTATCCTTGCTTCCCCTTGAGGGTCTTCAATCCGAATGGGCTCTACCTGGCTTAAACTCACAAGGCCTTGTCTGAGCAGTTCTGCATCTTGTAAGAGCTCCCTGATGGTTGTGCACAATATCCTTCTAGTCCATGCTATCTCCAAGTGAACGGGTGTCCTAATCACGGAAGGCCCCCCAAAGAAGTCCAACCCAAGCTCCCTGCCTTCCTCTGTTTTGCGCACCCCAGGCGCAGCCCCTGCGCTCGCCTTCATCTGCAAAGGAAACTCTTTTTGGGGGCCCGTTTGGGGTTCCATGATAGTTTGCACGGGATGCTGCCCTTGAAAAGTGCACACTTTAAAAGTGCACATCCACCGTGGGTTCGGGAGGGTCAAGGTGACTCTAGTCGGGTTGGGGCGCTGAGCCATCTTTGAAATCCAAAAGTTGTGAACACAGGTTTCCCTGTAAAATCCAACCATCCGAAAGATGCAACTCGAGTCTTCCGGGGCGCTGAATTCTACCGAATTTTACCGCCCCCCGAGTCTTCCCTTAGTCTTCTGGGCGCTGAATTTGACCGAATTTTACCGCCCCGAGTGTTACCTTAGTCTTCCGGGCGCTGTTTTACTGAATTTTAACGCTCCACGAGTCTTCCCTTAGTCTTCCGGGCGCTGAATTTTACCAAAGTTTATCGAATTTTACCGCCCCACGAGTCTTCCCGAAACCGCCCACGAGTCTTCCCTTAGTCTTCCGGGCGCTGAATTTTATTCCGAATTTTACCGCCCGGGCGCTGAATTTTACCGCCCCACGAGTCTTCCCCTACAAAACCAACCCAAAAAACAAACGAGTCTTCCCCTACAAAACGAACCCAACAAATAAAAAGGCCTACAAAACCAACCCCAAAAAAAAACAAAAAGGGGCACCCTTTTGGGGATCTCTCGAAATCCTAACCTTTTCCGCACAGTACGAACTTTGTTTATGCTCATTGTGAGTTCCTTTCTGCTCAAAACGTCTCTTTTCTGCTCATAACAAGAACCCTGGTGCAACTGTGTTGTCACCCCATGGTGGGTGCAAACTCGTGCTGACAGTGCCATAGCATACATCATCAAAGCGGTGCAATTCAGGGCGCTGGCGCAACCTGAGCCAAGGAAAATCGCCTGCGCGTGGGGAAACCGCGTATCCGTGGGGAGTGGTCGGCTTTCGCCAGCGTCAGCTTGCGCCAATGCTCTGCCAGCCAGCCACGCAAGCCAATGAGCCTTGAGAGCGTGTCGCCAAGCTCGGCTTGGATTCAAGTGGCGCTAAAACGAAACATGGCTGATGTTCATCCGAAAGCACTGGAGTTGTGGTGCGGAAGTAGGCTCCCTGATGCTTGCTTCCTGTCAAAAGGTTGAACAAATCAAACAAAATCAAACAAAATCAAACATATCAGGTCAAGAAAAAACAAGCTGGCTATACATCATGAACACCAAAGGGAACAAGACAATATCAGATCATGCCGGGCACTGTACAAAAAGCAATGTCCCTCACGCCCTAGGAATGATCAACACTTGGCTCGCCGGATCAATCCCAACGCGCCACCCCTTCTCATAAAAGCAGGAACGGCTGGGCGTTTCTTTTGGCAACACACGAGGCCAACACCAAGGACAAGCCAAGACCAAACAAACAAAGCTGCCAGCCGACCGACCTTTCTTGCTGGAGAACAGATCGCACGTGGCGGTGTTTTGCTCGAACGAGGCAACAAAGAGTGCTTTGCGCTTTGGCGAGTCGCAGGCCATACAACGCCAGTTTCGAAAGGAGAGAGGGTCCCATCTGCGCTTTGTGGGCGTTCTGTCCGCGCTTTAGGAAACGCCTTTGTATTCGCCCAAAGTGCGAAAAGCGTCATTGTAGCTTCCTACCATAAAAGAAAGACGGACAAGAGACAATTCTTGAAGGAAACCGTCCCACGCCAAAACCGAGGACACTGCTGGAGGCCTGGGGTTCCCACTGACTCCGATTCGCCCCCAAAATCCGGCCAGCCTCTCGCACGTCCACCTCCAGCACGCCAGGCCCCGGCTTCAACGGCAGCCGCATCTTCGCGAAGCTTGGCCCCGCCCCCTCCGACCGAGACCCGAAGCGAGCGGGGGGGGGAAGCTGCCTGTGAGCTCTCATTGCTGGCCATTCTTTGTCCAATGGTGCCGAGTTTCCACTGCATGCTGATAAGCACGTGCATCAGAGTTGATGTCTCCTACTTCAAACTAGCTTTAGACAAAACAGCAAGAATCGTAGCCAATTGGAACTGCCAAAGCATTCCCCCCCAACTAAACGTTTAAAGTAGCATTCACTCCCCGACCGAGCATTTTCATGTGTCCCCGAAGGGCCTCCCCAGGGGGGGCCTCCCCAGATTTGGTTTTCTTGCATGTTTAATGTTGGTTCAGGTTTTCTGTGTTTTTCATGATGTGTGAGCGTTGTTGGGGGTACTTTGCTCGAATCTAGCTAACTCCGCCAAGTGCAAAAGTAACGGCAAAGGTGGGGCCCGCAAATCAGGAGCGAGAAGCCAAACCTGCTGCGATTCCCAAGTGAGGTGGTTTAGATCACCAGTGTAATGTTGAGGGCAGCCCAGTCTCCCAAATCAAGCAAGAATTTCGGAGGGGTTCCAAAATGTAGGAAAATACGACTGTTTGCTAGCAGGGCCTATTAAAGCTTATTAAGCCTTAATTAGCTTTAATAAGGCTTAATAAGGCTTAATAAGGCTTAATAGGGCTTAATAAGGCTTAATAAGGCTTAATATGGCTTAATGTGGTGGGGAAGCCCCCCCAAAAAAACCTGCACAGGGACACGCTTTTGGCCCCCCCCTTCCCCCTTCCTCCCCCTTCCCCGTCCCCTCCCTCCCCTCTCTCCCCCCCCCTCCCTTCCCCACCCCCTCTTACCCCCCCTCCCCTCCCCTCCCCTATCACCCCTTTTACTTCTCAAAAAGAAACGATGTTTTGGTCCCTTTTCGAAGTATGGTACTTTGACTAGAATCCTGGGGCATGTATTCTAGGCTGGATGTTTTTCGAGATGGCGGATTTGAAGGATTGTTAAAAATAAGAGAACATGTCCGTTTTGAGCATTCTCATCTAAATAACAAATTATTAAGCGTTATTAAGCCTTATTAAGCCTTATTAAGCCTTAATAAGGCTTAATAAGGCTTAATAAAGCTTAATAAGGCTTAATAAGGCTTAATAAGGCTTAATAAGGTTTAATGTTAGACTCGGTCGTAATTCCTCAAATCTGGGGAGGCCCCTCTTGGGGAGGCCCTTAGGGGACACATGACATTTAAAGTCGCACGTGCCTTTGACAAACACAATGAGTTTCTATGAACAAAAGCTTGGCAAGCCAACAGGAAGGCCTCGGGCAAGTGAGGGGCACGCTCTGCACATGAGCCTGACATCGGTGAGAAGGAGAATGCTTTGTTGCCTGCCTCGTTAGGGAGAACCCCGCACACACACAACACAACGAAACAAAAACGCATACTTGGACACTCACAATAAAGGACAAACCTGGTGTTGGCTCCATTGCAGCCGCTCAATGAGCCGTGTAAAGCTACCCGGAAGCCCTGTTGGGCACCCCTTGGCCTTTCCCCCAGCCACCACCATTCATTGGGCCAACCCCTTTGCACATCTTGCAGCCACAACTTGATCTTTTGATGCCACCCCCATTTGGGCCAACCCCGTTGCACTGATCCTTTGGATCTTTTGCTCTTTTGATTTCTTGCTTGACGTTTTGGCTTCCAGGGACTGGTTGTAGCCAGCCCCCCCCGCCCCCCCCCGCCCCACCGCCGCGCCTCCGGAAGCCTGGCCTCCGCCAGGACCTGATCCCCGCGCCAGATCCGCACCAAGGAGCTGGGCGCGGCCACGCACAGCTCCTGTCCAGTCAGCCCATGGCGTTGCCCGCGCGAGGAAAAACCAACGGGGTCCATTGATTTTGGGGCACGTGTTGGGGCCCGGTTCTTGTTCCCAGGACCTATTTCTAGGGGCCAAAGAAAACAAGGAACAACTATTTGAACCCTGTACACTGTACCTAACATGGATGGAAACTAGGACAACACAAGGTGAAAGCGCTGGTGCTGGGCGAGTGAGTGCGTGGACAGTTTCCCAAGTCAGCATGAAACAAACCATTGGCGATGGCAGCTGGCTTTACACATTCCAAATTCAAAATGACTTCAAACCACCCGAGAACACCCGAAAGAAACCAGCCAGGTTGGCTTGTGGAAAGCCACGCGTCACGAAACTTCGCGGTCGGTCCAGCATGTTCCAGCAGAGGGCGAGAAACAAAGGGAACCGCAAGCGCATCAAACAACATTGGCCATCCGCAGGATGAAAACCCCGCCTCCCAGCGGGCGCGGAAGGCAAAGCCATCGCCGACCAGCTCCGGCTGCAGCTGCCAGCTGTCGCTGCCTTGCGCCGCTGCTGTGTTTGACCCTGCGTGCAAAAACGATAAAATGAAAAAGGCGACGGATCCCAATTCACACCCTCTCTCTCAAGACAAACTGCAAAGCTCACTGATCACTTGGTGAGCGGATTAGCGGTTAGCCACTGTTTACTTGCCGTTTCCCACGAGCACAGCGCAAATCATGCCACATGGGGAGGGCTCAAACTGGGAAGTCCACTCTTGTCTACCTTTCAGCTTTACCACTCGCGGGCGGCTCCTCGCCTCACTTGCCACACTCGCAACCAAACAAAAGGGGAGGAGGACTCCGGCGCAAACCAATGACCACACACACGCGAGCAACATGTTGCTTTTCAATGTGGGATGATCTCCCTCATTCGCCCATCCTGGATGTTGCGTGCAGGTGCGTCTTCCTGACGCCTTTGCAAGCACACGTCAACACTCATCTGCCAGAATCTCACGCCCAGTTCGATTCACACCCCGCAAAAGCGCGATCAGCGCACAGCATATCACACGCCAAAACGCCACCCGCCGGTTCCCTTTGATCCAAGGAGCCCAGGTCGGCGCGCTTCAGGCGCAGCTCTAGCCCCGCACTATTGCCCATGGCTTCAGGGCAGTCCGGGGGGGCAGATACGGCGAAAGCTGAGGCTTGAGTTGGATATGGCTTTGGGCTTGGGTGCCGGCTTGGGTGCTGCCCAGTAGGTCTTTTCTGAGCTGGGAATCTATATGGTTGGCGGTTTGCATGCTGTCATCGCATGGATTAGTCCCAAACGGGCTCTGGATGGAAAGCTGGCTTCGAGACCAACAACTTCTGAAAGCTGTTTTTCGTTCACAAATTGCTGCACACACGGCTTTGAGTCAGCCTATGCGAAATGGATCCGCAGAATGGGAGTGGACCAGCTGCCTGCGTCTGCGCTGCTTCATGTTGCTTCCTTCCTGGTCAATCTAAGCCAAACGCGGCCCTGCGTGAAAGCTGCTGCCGGGAATCGCGAACTAGGAAGTTACTCCCGCCAAGCAGTGGCGTCCCAAAGCTCCAGTAGTCAGACCTTCGTTATGTTTGCACCAGCTCGCCCCATGCTCGCCTCAACCTTTCGTGATTCCTGTCTGACACGTGCATATTTGGCTCACTTGTTACTGAACCAGCTTGGGATGCACACCGGACAACAAAACACAATTCATCCCGCGCCGGAGCGCAACTCACCTGGCGATGAGAAACAAGGCAGAGACTTCACTCCAACTCAACCTCACCACTCTAAGTGCCCGATGCTCTGGCCATTCCAAACACCTTCCCCTGGTTAAATGTCCGAGTCACGGCATGGGCGAAGCAAACGGCCTAATTGCATGCTGAGCATCTGCAGCTCCGGCAGTGACTGCGTCTTGGAGAAGTAGCTACCTGAGACCGAGGTCGTTTCTTACGCCCGAGTTGACTGCGAGATATGGCGTCACGCTGTGAATTAGTCAAAAACAAGCCTGAGCTGCGTGTTTCCAGGCAAAACAGTGAACTAAGAAACATCTGGTCGAAAAAGCACGGAGTCTAGAAGCTGGAAAGTGAGCTTCTGCTTGCTGCCCTAGGCCTTGCCATGACAACGAGAACGGTGCAATACGGTGCATCAGCGATTCCTGTTTGTGGCGCAACGAGCCTGTCACTTCACTCAATTGTGTGTTCCCCGAACCCTCCCTCCCAACACAACTTTTGCTTCATCCTGTTGGACCTGCCCCTCCATCCATGGTCAGTGGATGGGGCAGGTCTCCAGATCAGGGGAGGCATTCCCTTTACTGGGAATGACAAAGACTGGTGAAAAAGCGTTGGCGAAGTGACCTGTCAGGGGGTGAAAAGGGGATGGTGGTGGGTACTGAGCCTAAACACATGTGCCGTTGACGTGACGTTTCATGAGTAGCGAGCAACCCATTTCCACGTCACTTCACTGACCTGGTGTGTTGGACCTGCCCCTCCATCCATGGTCAGTGGATGGGGCAGGTCTTTGGAGCGTTTCAGAGAAGGCATTCCTCCGGGGCAACTCTCCCTTATGGAGCCCCCAAATGGAGCCCGCTGCCACTATGCCAAGTAGTGACAGCCCCCCACCTGCTGACAAGCATCCAACCGCTACTGAAAGCCAGCAAGCTGCTCTCAAGATTTCCTCGAAGCCTTCCCCAGAAACAGTGGCGGTGCTGCAGTGCTTCAAAGAGATTCAACAGGTGGTGTCTGACTTGTCGAGCACCCACTCCTCTGACTCTGGCATCGTGTGTGAGACTCTCATCGGCAGTGCGGTGAATGAGGTAGTCCGACACCTCTGGAACCTCATGGAGCAACAGTATGCTGACTGGGTTGAACTCTTCAAGCAGAAAGTTCAGTCGCAAGCAGCCACGCAAGTGCAACACTTCTTGAGCTTGAAGGTGCCGCAATATCAAGCCAAGAATCACGATGCTTCAGTTAAAGATCGCCCTGTACCAGCATACTGAGAAGCTCGTGTCTACTGTGTCCACCATGAAGGCCTTCGCTGCGGCAGTTAAGGTATGCAGTGGACACGCAGGGATGCGCATCGAGCTTCCTGAATTGCAGTCTGCAGTCATCGAAGGCACTTGCTTCATCTAAGTGTACACCATCATCACAGTCGCGAGCTCGCCTGTGTGGGCATCCATGACTCCCGAGCTTGCCTTGAAGGAAGAGACCAGGTATGGCGAGGCGGCGGATCCGTAGTTCTTGCAGCAGACCTCCTTGAAGGGGCCTCCAGCTTGGGCATCTCCTTGTCCACCCCCAGATCCCCCCAGTCTCCACCAGCGGGATGATAAACTCATGATCGAGTGGATTTTCGTGACCCTGTCGGAAGCTCGCCGTTGCTGTCAGCTTGACGTCCACCTCCTTCCGGCAACTCTCCACGAACTTGCCGAAAACGGAGCCGGTGAGCCTGCCGGCGGCCATCCGCCAGAAAATGGCATGCCCCTTTTCCCGGCTAAGCCACTCCATGAAGAACTTCCTGACGATCTCCCTGGCTTCGCCGAAGCTGTTGCTCCCGGGAAAGTTCCTGGCCCCCACTATCCTCCTCCATCATGAATGCCTCTCTTCTTGCCCTTTATAGCAAGCCTGCATGAGCCTTCCTTTTCCGCAGTATCCCTTCACCTCGAAGTGCTTCTCTCCATCGACCTTTCTGGGTGCCCACGTCCGTCTCCTTCAGGATCTCCTCCTCGGACTCGCCCTTCTGCTTGTCCCTGATCCTCTTTGAACTTCACATTGTTCACACCCTTCTGCAACTCCTCCTTGTTCACGCCCTTCTGCAACTCCTCCAACTCTACCTTGTCAAGCCTTCTAGGGGGCTTGACTAGGCACCTGAAAACCTGCTCTGGGGTTCTGCTTGTCGAGCCCATAGTCGTGCCGATGACCGCAATCCCGTCATCAAGCTGCGGCCAATTGCAGTAGAGAAATTAGGCATGCGACGGAAGGTCTGTCCCCAAGCGCGTCGGCTTCGGAGTTGGCGCCTCTCAGTTGCATTGGTGCAGGGCTATGGATTGCATGCCGTCCAGCTCTTTTGCTGCTTGCTGCAGGGCTGGCAGCTGCCAAATGGAAGCAGGCCTCACCCACTTGCCCTGTGCCACTGGCCCAAGCTGTCAGGGCGCTCTCCCAAGAAGTAGAGCCTGCGCACCACGTAGTGCCCAGCGACACCATGATGTCGATCATGATGTTGCCCTCATCTGCTCGCTTCTGCAGCTTCTCGGAGAGCCATGGTTCGGTGCAGGGTCTTGCCTGGTCCCGCACTGGCTTGGGACCAAATGGTTCGCCCAAGTCACGCTGGGCCACATGGCGGGGTGATGATGATCACCGCGCACTTGCCCATCTTGATCTGCTCCAAGATGCCCTGCGCTTGGCCTCGTCCTTGATGTCAGGTTCACCTTATAGCCTGCCTTCTCTGCCATCCTCAGCAGCTGGCTGCCCGTGGATGACTTCCTTTCCTCGGCGCTGAAGAGGTACAACACGTTGAAGGCGCCTCGGCCCCTCTTGCCCAGCCGAGGCCACCTGTGGCCTTCAGCGCTTTGACTCGTCTTTGCTCCCCTTGATAGGGATGAGACCCCATGGCACTTCCGGCAGCAACGCGCGCGGGTGCATGGTCCACGGCACCTCTCTTGGGTTGTTGAACTTGTAGCAGATGCCCGCCGTCTGGCGTGGTGCTGCGCCATGCCCCACCCTGCGATGCTTCCCTTGGCTTTCCGCTGGCCCCTTTGCCCTTTGGCTTCCCCTTGTTCCGGCCCTTGGTGCGGTCTGCTCACTGCCCGCGCTCTCTCCCCAAGCTCCTTCCTCGGCTTCGTGATCTGCTTTTGGTGGCGACCCAGCTGTTGCATGCCAACGGGGTGGTCAGGAAGCGCTCCTTCACCAGCGTGTCGACCATGGCCTCTTCCAGTGAATCCACCCAGCTGTGCCCTTTGTTCACCTTCTTGATGGCCGCCTTTCGCACTTGGAACTCGTAGGACAGCAACAGCTCAAAGGATGGCTGTGCCATGCTGCGGCCCTTGTCGTCCTTGGCCCTCAAGCTGAAGACGTGCTCGCCCAAGAGGAGCGGCTGAAGATGTTGGGCGTGATTCTCTGGAAAGCTGCCTTGTTCGGATAGCGGAACGAGCACATCAAGATTGCGTTGGCCACCAGATCCAAACGCACCCGCAGCTCCTCAGGGCCCGACGGCCGAGTGTTCTGCGCTGCCCCTCTCTTCAGCCCGTGCTGTTGTCCATGACCGCCCCAACGGGCGCCACATCCCTGCTGATGAACTTGGTGAGGCGCATGAAGCGCCACTCGCCCTGCTCGATATGGTCGAAGAGGTTCTCGAGGGTGCTGCGCGCCGGCGTGACCCTGTTCTCCATCTTCTGGAAGGTGTCCTCATACTTCGTCCTCAGCACTGTGGCCTCAGGCTTGTTGCGCCCATACGTCGACCACAGCCGCAACAGCTGCAGGATCAATGCCAAGTGTCCTCCTGCAGAAGTCCCGGATGCCGCCCCTGTCGTCCGCCAACACAGCGAACTGGCTCACTGTCCTCACCCGCGCAGCTGCCAAAGCAATCTGCACATCCGGTGGCACCTCCTTGATGTCCAACAAGCCACCAAAGTCGGGGTCCAGGGTGCCGATGGCCGCCCGCTGTGCTGCATCCAGCACAACACCCGCCGTGACTAGGCTGCCTCTCCAAGCTCCAGCCGAAAGGTAGCAGCATCCGCGCTGATACCACATGATCCCAATGGCTCCCCATTTCCCGGCCCTTGCCCAATTCGAAATCAAGAGCCGCTTCCGCGCGCAGCTTCACCGCTACATGCTTCAAGCCTTCCGACCTGACCCTAGCTGACACATGGCCGCCCGCAAGCCCACCTTTGCAAACGATCATGCCACCAATATCCGAACCTGCACCCTGCATCCTACCTGCCTTCAATCAGCAAACCTCGTGCATATCGCTATCCTTGGTCGGGGATGCAGAAACGGCCCTAGGTCTGTGAAATAAGGCTATCCAGACTCCGTGGGTGCCGAAACTGATGACGACACCTCACTGTCCTCCGTGCCAGCCTCTACCCCGCGGGGGAAGCACTCCTTGCAAACTTGGTGGCACATGCCCGCCGAGGGAACTTGCCCAGGTCCTCGAACCGCTTGTAGTGCACGCCCCCACGGTGGAGTGTCCTCCTCTGCGACCTGCCTATGAGGCTCACGAAGTACTTCCCCTTGTAGCCCTCCGGCGTCGCATCTGGCTCGCTGGCGGTATCGCCGCCCTTTCCAGGCTCCTTCTCCTTCTCGTCGTCGTCTTCCACCTCGACCACTTCTAGCGGATCCTTCTCCACCTCCTTCCATCTGTCCTTCCCAAGAACGCTAGCGAAGACGCCTCCCTGGAAGCTGGCCAGGCTTCTGATCCTCCATCGTTGGGGTCCGTCTCGTAGGTCGCCTACGCCTCGTCTGCCTGCTTGGCCACATAATCGTCGACCCCCAGGCCCACGACCTCAACATCGCCCTTTCTGCACTTGGTCCAAACGGTGCCTGCTCCTGGACAGAGCAAGCGCCCCCTCCAGCTCCTCCTGCTTGCTGACTCACCACAAGCTCGGCCAGCGTGGCCTGGCTTATGTGGCTTATGTGCGACGCATGGTAGCACTTGCCCATCGCTCCGATGATGCACGTGCCCTCGCAGTTGGTGAACATGCCGGCCTCCTCGCTCATGGTCTTCCACAGCTGATAGCCGAACCGAGATGAAGACGTGCTGGACCTTGCCTGCCTACGTCGTCTTGGTCCTCTCCAGAACACCACGCAATCCCCGCCCGCTCATCTCGATCTTGCCGAAGAGCATGCCCTGGGTACCCGAGAAGCGCAGCGGCTTCATAGCCTGACCAAACGAAACCACGCATAGGCTCCAGGCAACCTTAGTACCCTTAGTACCCCCTCCGTCATCACGTGCCTCTCCATGGCCATGACAATCTCCACCGGGATCTGCGCTGCCTGCCGCCATCGCAGGTCTAAGCTTCCCAGCTCCAGGATGACCTTCTCAAGGGCATTCTTCAACGCCGGGTGCTTGCACAACCTGTCCCTCTCCTAAACCTTTTTCGCCACCTCGATGAACATGAGGGTCTTCATCAGGCTGATGGGGATGCTCTTGCCACACGGCTCGGCCACCCTGTGCGTGAGGTAATTACTCGATGAATTGCTTGACGGTCTGCGGCCACGGCCACGCCATTCCATCCGGATCAGCATTCCACCGACAGCCGCAGGCAGCTCCGACTCCACGATGATTGTCTTGAGCATCACCTTCCACCTCGTTCTCTCCAACCTCTCTGCCCTGTCTCGCAGATCCAGGTTGTCTCCTGCCCGGCCCACCAACCTGCTGAGCCGGCATGGCCAACGCTGTCGGTGCCTTGCCCTTCCTGCAGGACTGCGGCTCGAGCTGTTCCACTTCTCCAGCTCCTCCATGGTCTCCTTCTCAAGGATCGCCAGCGTCGCCGTGGTCCAGCCATCAGCCAT